ATATAATATAATATAATATAATATAATATAATATAATATAATATGATATAATATAATAATGATATAATATAATAATGATAATATATTTTATATATTTAATAATATGTATACATTATAATAATTATGTAAAACTCTATATTGTGTCAACGAAAATATTAATCTCATATTTTTATAAGCACATAATTTTTAATATTCCTTTTATTTCGTATTTAATTTTGTTATCTACTTTTTATTTTTCTTCTAAATTTGTATTATTTTTCTATTTGTTCCATGCACTGAATAAAACAATAAACGTATGAAAAATGAAACGTTGGATAAATTCTCCATAAATGTATCTTTATAACGTGAATTAAACAATTTGATGTCATGGTCCTGTGAATTTAATTCCTAAAATTAAAAAAAAAATGATACTCAATGATTCATGTGCGCACAATCGTTGATCGTACTACTGATTCATTGCCATTTTTTTCCACCGACGAGACTTGCATTCTAACCCCGCATACGTTACCCATTTATGAGATATATAGATGATAAAGCTGTACAAAAACAAAATGTTAACGAGCATTAATAAAACACAACGGTGCCGAGATTTCTGTTTGTTTAACTCGCCGAAGATTTTAACCGGAAAAATGAGCTCTACCGTTTAGCTCTCGTTTAGCCGAATTAATCCGGAATAATCTGTGTATTGGAGTAAAGATTCACGGTTATAGGGGCGGATTTAATTAACCTTTTAATTGCCACCACATCGTTTAATGAGATTCAACTGTCGTTGCTACCGAATTGTAGGACGCGGTGCCAGCGGGTAGGTCGCTAACGAACGTTTTTATTCGCAGAAACTTCCAACGATCTGGAAACCGTTGTTCTCGTAATCTTCGGGATAGCTAAATATTATCTCGTCGTAGGGTCTGGAACTACTGTCATAAACATAAAAAACTGCACGATCGTGCGGGCTGGGCACTTTGCGACATGACACGGAAGAGGGTCGTGTTGCATTTTCCGACATGAAACGGAATATGCGTGATCCTGTCGGTTGACACTTTCTCGCTCCCAACGAACAACGTCGTTCATGCGGCGAAGAAAACCGACGTTCGCTTAACGTACAAGAAAGTAAAGAAAAATTTGCATTCGTCGGTTATTCAACCGGTTTGCCGTTCTCGACGAGTATACTCGTCAAGAAAGAAGTGACAACGTTTCGTGTTACGTCGAGTATGCTCGCCGGAAACAGCTGACTGGTTAAGTAAACAAATAAATGTTGGTAATAAAATTAAGAACTAAAACAGTTAAGTTTGTATTAAAACAGCCACACGTTCACGTTTCAAAACGATTGCAATTGTGACAGTTAACTGGTTTAATATTATAATATTAATATTATATATATATAATAAATAATATAGTTTAATATTAATATTATAATATTAAGTGTATTATACATGGTAACATCTTTTCTGTAACACTTTTTACATTATGTTTTTATTTTGATTTATACATTACATCGATCTATCATATCCGAACTATCTTGTTTTTTATTACATCATACCGATCAGCTACGAAAATGTAAAGAAGAAAATTTGATTAAATATCGTTGTAAAATGAAGTCTGATTAAAAAATGTTGCACATACAAAAGTTTATCCTTTTCTCGCGTAGGATAAAAATCTATAAATAAGAATACCAAGAAATAAATTCCAAGAAATAATGTCACCCTCCGAATAACCTTCAAAATGGCCAACAATAAAAAGTTAATGAAATAGTTGCATAACCCTTTTGCGTCGAACATTTTTCATCGTTGAATGCGTTGCTTCCGAAATATTTAGATCGAGAGTTTTCAAATGAACGAACACTTGGTATAAGAAACTCTCGCGGTTGCATCGTAGACGTATCGCCGTGGATTCGTTGATCCAATTCTCTCGCGACTAACAATATTATTGCAACGACTTGTGCATATTACGTTAGATCCATGCGTCGTACGTCTGGTATTCCGTGTGCACGTTGAGTTTAAGTGATGGCGCTCGTTACTAATAGCGAATCTCATCAAGATTAATGTTCTGACGTAGCGCGCGATTAATCACCGTGCGGCGTAGCTCGGATAATTTTGACACATATTATTCTATGTCCGAAACGAGAGACACCTTCGAATTCTTACGGGAATTATGTCGTGTCCGACCGGAAAGATAAATAAATGTTGTACACCGTGCTCGCGTGTTCATTAAATGCTGAAGCAAAATATTTGATCGAGTATGTTGTATTCCATGTGTGTGCGCGCGTGTGTGAACACACGTTACATTTCTGTATACAGACAGATTTCAGTAGCTTATCGTTGATTAATTAATATTGCTCGCTGCACATATTATTTTAGAGTTACAGTATTCAATAAATTCAAACTTTTTTTTTAAAGAGTTACTAGAATTTTCGCGCTTTCGTTTTACACCGTTATTTAACGCCAACAAAATTGTATATTTAGCTTGTTATTTTATGCTTTCAACGAATATGTCATATTGTTGATTGATTAATATTACTCATTGTGAACATTATCTTGGAGTTATAATGTTCATAGAATTAAAATTTGTTTCAATATTTGAGTTACTTGAATTTCATCGTTTTTGTTTTTCAACTGTATATAATTCAACAGAATTGTATTTAACTTGAAATATTATATCTTTAACAAATATATTGAATACGCTAATATGTTAATATACACAATATTAAATCCATAGTCCAATCATTAACAAATTTGAAGACTTTACAGTCTCTGTAAAATGTTCCTTAAGTCATTCGAAGTAACTTTTTCCTCAGCGAAAATGCAATCCGCGGTTTAGTTTATGAGTTATGAAGGAAAAATAGTGACCAATAGGAGGCGTGATCAGCAGGGCGCGGCCTGGCCGAGCCAATGAGCGGAACTGGGCTTCGTGCGCTCGTTGGCTGGTCCGCCTCGCGCCTGCCGAGCTCGCCTCTCATTGGTCGGTGTTTTTCGTTAATAACTCGTAAACAAAGCCGCGGATTGCATTTTCGCTAAGGAAAAAGTTGCTTCAAATGAAGTCAGGAATCCCCCACTTCTGGATTGCGAGACATTTTTGGGACACACTGTATATATATTACAATATATACGGTTCACAGAGGTTTTAATACGCGTCAACGTAATTTGCTTTTCATTGTTTCCAGACAACAGGTTCCAGCCGATCCGCAAGGACCTCTATCAAGGCGATGATCCAATTTCATCGACATCGCCGCCGGAAAAGGTGTCGAAGGGCCGGCAGAAGGCGCGCAAGAGACTCGGGGAGATGAAGAAACGTCGGAAAGCAAAGGAGAAGAAACGGAAGCAAATCGCGGAGAAATCGTTCTACGAATCGCCGCCGGCCTCGGCGGTCGTTCCCTTAAATGAAACAATAATGTCAAGGTTGGACCTAAGCTGTTTCATGAAAGCACGCAAGAAGGGATTTGTGAAAGCCCCTCAGATTGAGCACGCATATCCTGCCAAATATGCCAGGTTCGTATCCCCCGTCTCGCCCGGACGGAACCAGGAAAATGTTATTCGATATTTTTTCTCCGTGCGTCGACGTATAAACTCGTGCGTTCCTGCGATATTGGTTTTATTAAATCCGCAGCGAAGAAAAAAGTCGCGGCGCAATTCTCGCTATAGGTAATTAACACGTATTGGATTCCTTCGCTTCAATATCGATAACTTTGGGAAAAAAATAGGCGAAACGTATATATTTGTCCCGGGTACATATTTATATTGAAAATTAAATATTGGCAATCGAATAATTTCACGTCGGCCGCAAGAATCGCGAATTCTCCGCCGAAATCGAGCTCTGATTCGACGATTTCATAATTCCTTGAATTTATCGATCGAGCAACAACGGAAGCTGAATTACGAATATCAGAGTGAAAGGATCAAATTAAGAAGATGAAATTAAGATCACCGGAATCGAGAATATCGAATTAAGAATGTCAAATTAAGAACATCAAAACATCAAATTGAGAATATCAGAATTAAGGCTATCAAATTAAGAATATCAGAATTGACAATATCAAATGGAGAATATCAGAATTTAGACTGTCAAATTAAGAATATCGAAATTGACAATATCAAATTAAGAATATCAGAGTTAAGAATGTGAAATTAGGAATATCAAATTCTGGCATTTCCCTAAACAATTTTTAAGAATTTGTTTTAAACGAACTGTTAAACTATTTCCGTCAGGTTTTAGCACATGGATTTACGGTCATCCACAGTACATAATGAACATTTTTCAAAAGTAAGAGCAATTAAAATCGCGAGCGTCATATTCTGCTTTACTGAGAGTGTTCTCCCACGGTTTCATGCTTTGTAACATCAGCGCGTGCATTATGAACGAACGGATTACTCTCAAGTTCCATTAATTTTGTACAGAGCGCAAATTTAGCGCACTCTGTTGTATCAGCGAAAGTTTCGAGCGCAGGCGAATGGGCTTACCTAAGTATCGTGTGCGTGCCAGACTCTTCGCGACCAATTGTATAGTTCACCACGAATTTTTGTAGGAGGAAAAATGTACTGCCTCCGTACAATCGATACCTTGTCGCGATGTACGAGTGCACAGAGGATTTCATTTTCGAGGACTCAATGGCGGATCGGCTTTTCTGCAGCGATGGCACTTGGTTGGGCGTTCTTCCGCGTTGCATAAAGGAAGGAGGTAAGTACCGCTGGATAGAACCAGTACATCCATGGAAATGCTGTCTTAAAAAATAAAAAGGGAACACAATGGGACCGGGTTTACTGTTTCTAACACGCGGCATCACGGTTACACGAATACACAGCGAGCCGCGAAAACCTATTCGTTCGTATTTTAATATGAAATCGATTCGTTGAAATTGGACGCGCGAATTGATACACAATTTCTTCAGATGCTGTTTACTAAAGTTAAAACAATCTTTAGAAAAATTGTCATTGGTTAGAGTGACAGAAGAAAGAAGAAGATAGTATTTATTAATTTTCAATTAATTAATTTCGTTTTACCATGAACTTTTCAACACATATACAGTAGTTTGCATAATTATAGATTCAAAGAAATGTTCATATTGTTACGAATATCTAAACGAAAACTTAACAAAATATCATATTTGTATATTTCTATTCTCTATTATTTCTAATGTAGAAATAATAGAATAATATTGTTAAATATCTAAAAATGTAAAAGCTCATTATTCGTATAATTGTATAAATTACCAAGACCTACGAAACGTATTCTTTAAAGTTTTGTTCTAGACACAGGCAAAAATGTTAAAAAAGTATGAGTTCTCCACATCTTTTGTCATTTCGACCAATCACAATTTTTGCAAATATTTGTTGAACCTTTGTTTAATAAACTATCCTTCTAAGATCTCAAAAAAATTAAATAGTTTAGTCTGATTTTAGAGAAGTTACTCCACTGTAAAAGGCGTATGAACACTTTCGTAACACCCTGTATATGCCAACTGCTTTCTCACAGCGTGCCGCGAAAGAGTCGAACGAATTTTACTCGTAAAAAAAGTGCAATTTTTAATATTATAATGTATATCTGCATATTTTGTAAAATCACTGACAAAGACGATTCATTAACATCAGCTTGCATAATCCTAATTTTATCCTGTTACGTTTGTACCGTAATTCTTCATTATGCGAGATTTATGTCATAGACAGAAAGGATTATTGACGCTTAGTAGATAACGATCCGATTTATTACATTTTCGGGAACGTTGCATTTATTGACTCTTTCGCGAAAGCTAGGGGGCTCCGATGTTTACACAATGCAATGTATATTATCTGACATTGTGAGCCCAGCTGCCCGTTCCCACAGATAACGTGAATTGTAATTAGGACGTCAATGGATATAATAACATCAGAAAAACAATAATGTGATCCGTAATATTTTCAGTATCGCATCGCGCTGCAAATCTTTATGCGAGCTGAAATTATTATGCTTCAGTCGTAGGAAACGGAAGTTAAATGTATCTCTGCCTTAAAATATTTAATATGAAGTTCAGAAATTGCGCTTCCCATTGCACGATCACAATCCATTTCTTAATCCCTTGCACGGTCTCGCAGGCTCCAAAATAACCTGTGCATGTTGTCCAATTAAATAAAAATTTATCTAGATAAAAATTTGTTCGAATTATTCTTTGTTCGATTAAAATTTTATTCGAATAAAGGATTATTCAAATGAAGATGTATTCGAATAAAGAACTACTGAAACGAAGAAGCATTCGAATCTAGCTAATTTAATAAATAATTATCGTGTTAAAGGACGTAAGGGATATGTTTGTTAGAGAAATATGAAGAATATTATCAATAACCTTGACATGACCTTGACATAACCTTGATATGTGAAGGTCATGTCAAGGTCATAACGTTATGTCAAGGTCATGTCAAGGTTATGTTCGAATCTATTCGAGTAATCCTTTAATTACTCGAATAAATTCATAGAATAATTTATAATCGTTAATTATCTTAGAATAATATAACTGAATAATGTCCAACTCTGACAATGACAAGGGCCACTGACCTCAAAGCCGATGACTCAGTTTATTTATGATTAAATTTCCTCGACCAAAATTTTCTTAAAATTTAAAAAATTGATTATTCGTCGCAACGAGAGTATAACAAATCGACTCGATATTCCCAAATTATGAGACTCCGGATAATTAAAAGTCATGTTAGAAGCAACGGGAGTATCATAAATTGACTGTGGTTGATTGCTGCAGCGCAAGGATTGGTTTGTAATCAATGCGCACCGATTTCAATCCACCCCTAGCGGAGACAGTCGGCTGGATAGCAATTCGTCAAATGAAAAGAATCACACGCTTTTGTTACAGAGCCGACATTCAATAACGTGAAACGTTGCAGCCAGGACAGGGGAGGCTGCGAGCACATATGCGAAAACACCGAGACAGGTGTGAAATGCACGTGCTTCGACGGATTTCACGCCAAGGGATATTCGTGCATAGGTAATTAGTAATTAGTGATTACTAGATGGCGGATTTGATGCGTTTATATTAAGCACGAGTAGTTCGAATGCAAAATAGCATAAACATTGAATTAATTTGTAGATATTATTGTGTTACTCATAATTTGTTGAAATTATCTANTTTGTTAGAGAAATATGAAGAATATTATCAATAACCTTGACATGACCTTGACATAACCTTGATATGTGAAGGTCATGTCAAGGTCATAACGTTATGTCAAGGTCATGTCAAGGTTATGTTCGAATCTATTCGAGTAATCCTTTAATTACTCGAATAAATTCATAGAATAATTTATAATCGTTAATTATCTTAGAATAATATAACTGAATAATGTCCAACTCTGACAATGACAAGGGCCACTGACCTCAAAGCCGATGACTCAGTTTATTTATGATTAAATTTCCTCGACCAAAATTTTCTTAAAATTTAAAAAATTGATTATTCGTCGCAACGAGAGTATAACAAATCGACTCGATATTCCCAAATTATGAGACTCCGGATAATTAAAAGTCATGTTAGAAGCAACGGGAGTATCATAAATTGACTGTGGTTGATTGCTGCAGCGCAAGGATTGGTTTGTAATCAATGCGCACCGATTTCAATCCACCCCTAGCGGAGACAGTCGGCTGGATAGCAATTCGTCAAATGAAAAGAATCACACGCTTTTGTTACAGAGCCGACATTCAATAACGTGAAACGTTGCAGCCAGGACAGGGGAGGCTGCGAGCACATATGCGAAAACACCGAGACAGGTGTGAAATGCACGTGCTTCGACGGATTTCACGCCAAGGGATATTCGTGCATAGGTAATTAGTAATTAGTGATTACTAGATGGCGGATTTGATGCGTTTATATTAAGCACGAGTAGTTCGAATGCAAAATAGCATAAACATTGAATTAATTTGTAGATATTATTGTGTTACTCATAATTTGTTGAAATTATCTAGAACAGAAATGCAGGTTCTGCACTTCAATTCAATACTATTCTAGATCATGCTCTCCTTTTTGCACTACAAGTTAACACTTTTGCAAGTATTATTTAACTTTTTACAACATAACTTCATCTTGTTGCAAATGAAACTCTTACACATATGGTTATGTATACAATTTGACTCAATTTTTAAGTTCAACACGAATTTATGTACTTATTTACAAAATGATATAAAGTTCTTTGTAAGTGATCGATCTGCAATATTTATTCATGAGGTTTCATTAAAGTTTTACGTTTGATATAAACTTCTATACTTATTTACAAAATGCTACATTAGAAATCTACAACACTTATTTATGAAAATTCGTTCAATTTTTAAATTTGGAGTAATTTTAAATGCGAAAATGTAATCGTAATCTACAGAAGTATTAATTTTGAGTGCAAAACCTGTAAATATCTATACACATAGTTCCTGCATCTCGCAATTAATTCAAACAATTTTTTATTTACACAAAGGTCCACGCTCTAATAATTACCAATTACATTTAGATCCATTCAAATCTTTTAAACAATAATATCAATTTATATTGGTTCTCAAATATAAACCTGCTAACTATGAAAATTTCGTGAATTTAATGACAAAATTAAAGTGGCAGGAAACATTAGCATTCGGAGAATCGATACAATACTTAGATTAGTCTTCCAAGGCAGTATTGTTCTTTTTGGACGAATCAAATATGTCGGAGGACATATAAACGAAAGCCTACACTCGACTGACAGGCGCACCGAGACTCGTACTCGAAAGTTCGACCAGACTTCGTAACTCTCCATTAAGAAATTCATCGTGATCTAAGTTTACGAAATTACGAGTCGCCGCGACACAATATGCATTATCATCCGTTATCAGTAGTAATCGAATCCCATGAAGTGAAGCTTTTGTATTGGAATTGGCTTAGCTTCATGAATACATATTGAATTTGTTCTCACCCCCGGCGTTGTTCTGTCACCGAGTGTCAAACTTCCGCGACCGATGGCGCATTTAATAAATATGAAATTAATATAAACAAATCGGTCGGACGCAGCGGGCGGACCCGAATGTTCATATCTACGTGTCCCGATCTGTGACGCATTCGCGCGCGTATCTTGGATTTTCTGTAAATTCAGCTGGCCACAGGATGACCTCGATTCACGTAGCCTCTCTGCATTAATATTCGGACACCTTTTAAAACAGAATCACTTTTTTCAAATTAAACGAGATAACGTGAATGTTTTCTTTGAAATATTCGGCTGATTAATTCACTAGACAATGTTCTATTATACGAACAATATTGTATTTCTTATCACAATACTGTATGTAAACGCACAACGTGTTTATTTGTTGCTATCGGATGAAATTATTGTCTTTCACTGAATTCACTGAATATTTCCTTTATCGATTTACATTAATTTATCCCCATAATTATGTTTATCATATTTGTAAATATAAATCAATTTCCGATTTTGTGTTTGATTTTGTGTTCCGAGTTACGTATAAACTAAATGAATGACATTTATTTTATCTCATTTTGGAACTTTTGGAACTTTTGGGACTTTTGGAACTTCTGGAACTTTTGTTCCAAAATGTGAGACCTGACAATGACACAAAGTACAATAGTATTATTATGTCTGAAACGTGCAAACGAAATAGAAAAATCAAGCAAACTTTTAATATTATTAATTCAGAAGATTATTGATGAAGATACGTTTTAAGAAGTTAAATCGGCCATAAAGTGTTCTACGAAATTATTCTGAAAGGATCTGGCGGTGTCCGAGAGTTATCGATGCTACGTGTTAGTGCTCGTTGGTGCTCCTTGTGAGCTTCGAGCTTTGTAGAAATTTGCACGTGGTGTGCCGTCCGAATAATATGGTTTTTTCTGTGTCTTGTGAGTCCCTTATGGTCTCGTGTCCTGTGAGTCCCTTGTGGTCTCGTGTCCAGTGAGTCCCTTGTGGTCTCGTGTCTAGTGAGTCCCTTGTGGTCTCGTGTGTAGTGAGTCCCTTGTGGTCTCGTGTGTAGTGAGTCCCTTGTGGTCTCGTGTGTAGTGAGTCCCTTGTGGTCTCGTGTGTAGTGAGTCCCTTGTGGTCTCGTGTGTAGTGAGTCCCTTGTGGTCTCGTGTGTAGTGAGTCCCTTGTGGTCTCGTGTGTAGTGAGTCCCTTGTGGTCTCGTGTGTAGTGAGTCCCTTGTGGTCTCGTGTGTAGTGAGTCCCTTGTGGTCTCGTGTGTAGTGAGTCCCTTGTGGTCTCGTGTGTAGTGAGTCCCTTGTGGTCTCGTGTGTAGTGAGTCCCTTGTGGTCTCGTGTGTAGTGAGTCCCTTGTGGTCTCGTGTGTAGTGAGTCCCTTGTGGTCTCGTGTGTAGTGAGTCCCTTGTGGTCTCGTGTGTAGTGAGTCCCTTGTGGTCTCGTGTGTAGTGAGTCCCTTGTGGTCTCGTGTGTAGTGAGTCCCTTGTGGTCTCGTGTGTAGTGAGTCCCTTATGGTCTCGCGTGTAGTGAGTCCCTTGTGGTCTCGTGTCCAGTGAGTCCCTTGTGGTCTCGTGTGTAGTGAGTCCCTTGTGGTCTCGTGTGTAGTGAGTCCCTTGTGGTCTCGTGTCCAGTGAGTCCCTTGTGGTCTCGTGTGTAGTGAGTCCCTTGTGGTCTCGTGTGTAGTGAGTCCCTTGTGGTCTCGTGTGTAGTGAGTCCCTTGTGGTCTCGTGTGTAGTGAGTCCCTTGTGGTCTCGTGTGTAGTGAGTCCCTTGTGGTCTCGTGTGTAGTGAGTCCCTTGTGGTCTCGTGTGTAGTGAGTCCCTTGTGGTCTCGTGTGTAGTGAGTCCCTTGTGGTCTCGTGTGTAGTGAGTCCCTTGTGGTCTCGTGTGTAGTGAGTCCCTTGTGGTCTCGTGTGTAGTGAGTCCCTTGTGGTCTCGTGTGTAGTGAGTCCCTTGTGGTCTCGTGTGTAGTGAGTCCCTTGTGGTCTCGTGTGTAGTGAGTCCCTTGTGGTCTCGTGTGTAGTGAGTCCCTTGTGGTCTCGTGTGTAGTGAGTCCCTTGTGGTCTCGTGTCCAGTGAGTCCCTTGTGATCTCGTGTCCAGTGAGTCCCTTGTGGTCTCGTGTGTAGTGAGTCCCTTGTGGTCTCGTGTCCAGTGAGTCCCTTGTGGTCTCGTGTGTAGTGAGTCCCTTGTGGTCTCGCGTGTAGTGAACCGTTGGCGCTGACGAGGTTCTTCTCCTGACTAGGTTGTCTTGTCTCTACTCTTGTCTATCTACTAGAGGACCGGAGTCATCCCTAATATCACCTCGGTCCTCCCTACTCCTCTTGACCTAGGGTGGGCGGCAAGGAATTACGGTCCAATCACTGCAATCCCAAATCCAGTGAGACTGCCCCAAAACCGTGGGCCGGGAGTTAGGAGGGAGAGTGGCAAAATAATTCCTGCTAGACATCCCGCGCTGATGGGCCTACGTACCCGAACAGTGCCAGACCCAACCGTAATTGACTGGACCGTAATCAAGGACCAGGAGACGTTATGACGGTGCCGCATGTGCCCGGGAACGGCCCGGGACAGGCCCATACCGTCCGGGTACCCAAGCACATGGCCCCTGCCATAAATCCTGGCCACTTGGCCGTAACACTACGTTTAAAGCGAAGTTCGATAAAATAGCAAACCATGAGATTATTCCGTTAAAAATTTGCGGGTGATCGCAAACGGGTCTCGTCCCTTTGCGATCCGCGATTTGCGATGTTTCCGGTAAATCGTCGGATTTGTAGAACCTTGCCGATCCGAAATTGAGATACCATGGAGGTTTATGCTTATCCCGCGAGCGGATAAAGGTCGCGTCAGGCAGGCTTACAATTTTCTGACCCGGGAATGTATGTTTCGCACGGCTTCGCCGCATACTTCTTGCCGGCGACTTCGCTGAAATCTGAATAGCGCGAGATCTAAAATCGGAGAAGCGCCGCGGTTCAACCGGCGAGAAAAACGAGCGCGGCTTCTGAACGGAGATTTCGAGAGTCGTAATATTTTCCCGGCTCGCGCGAATTCCTTCGTGTAGAGGGACCGTCGCGTCGTCGTGCAAGGTGAGAATTCGTGTTTCACACGCGAAATCACCAGCTAAATCTGTTCCGGATAATTTACGATGTACTCCCTCTCTGTGATACTGTTGCGCTTTACCACGCTCCGCGATTTCTGTTCAACTGCTCGCACTGCCAGAGATCGCTTAATACAATGTACCATTGCTTCGTGCAGTGATTCGCCTGAATGCTCGGACACCGTTCGAATTAGAAGAACTTTGCTGATTTCGTGACAAAAATGCGGGAGTTACTTTAAAGTGCCGCATCTTCGCGGAAAATAAACGCAGCCACGCTTTGTTTGTGCTTAAATTAAAGAAGAAAGATCAAACTTTATTCAGCTGTAAACCGCATCACCGAAAACAATTTTACAAAAGCCGTGCATTTCGTCGAACTTAGCAACTTTCAATATGACAAACATGGCAATTTTCGATATGACGTGAACATGGCCTCTTATTTAATGGATTTTAGTAACCAGGGTGCAAGAAACTTAAAATCCAGAAACAACAGGTTAAAGTAGAGGTTTCAAGCTTTAATTTAAAAAAAGTGTCATGATTCTACGATAATTTTTCGCGGAGTTATCGTCAGTCGAAGTTGATAAATTCTTATCGAAAATTTGTCTATGCTACCTTTGTTCTGTGCAGTGTGTAATTAACTTAAAAATATTGTACCAAACGCATTTTTAACGTTTTCATTATATACGTCTGTCACCGAAAACCATTGAAATCGTTTCGGAAATAACAATAATCAGGTGCATCGGATCGTGTACCGTGAAGCTTTCGTTTCGCTTGCATCGCGCGCGATCAAATCACATTCTGCATCGGGATCGATTAGTCAACTTAACAGCTAGTAACGTGTCATTGGAACGCCCGGGGCGCGGGTAGACGCCTCGATGGAACAGAGTGTAGGTGTCGTTTAGCATTGTATGCTAATCGGCGTCGGCGTCTCCGTGAAAACGACCGCAATGCGAGGGCTGCTGTCGAAGTCTGTTTCAAGTGCAACCGCGCCGTCGCCCTCGGCCAGAGAAACAAGCTTTCTCGATTCCGTGGCGGAATCTATGCCGCGACACTAATCTGCAACCCGTAATTTATAACCTCGTGGTTCCGCCGGGTATTACGTGTCCCGGTAAAAGTACCGGCGACCGGTCCCGTAAATATTGCCAGCTAATTATCGCGTGTTTTCGCAATGAACGGCACAGGTACGATACTGTGACGCGCGATCGTTCGAAAGTGTTACATGCGCTTTGAATCTGACAAGATAAATACATAGTTAGATGAATACATAATCTCTCTCTCGGAGGATATTATCGATTCGTTCACTGTTTAAATCAGTTCATTTTCTGTGCTTTTACCGGAGTCGGGTAGTAATCGACTGTTTTTCTTTTTATTACTTTCGTGATCGATTACGAAAAATAATCGTGATGATCGTAATTATTGATCAATTAATTGTTACGAGAGTTATTCTTAGTTATTGCATTACATTTGGTAATCTGTAATCTCGGACGAATGATTAATTTATTTTTTCTGATCACACTTGCTGTGTTGCGTCTGAATGAGGGGCACGAATAAAAAGTCTTTTATTGAGATATGAAATATATGCAAATTTTTTTTGTAAGAAGAACTATCCAGAATTATTAATTACCATAATAATACCAAAATTTCCAGAGTTAATCGTAACCAAAGCAAGTAATCATCGCATGATCAACGATTACTGGTGTTTTTATTGCACTGCATTTGATCTACTCATTTTTTTTACAGTATACACGTATATATGTATATTCCCATTCACGTTATCGTCACTCTATAAAAGTGGAAAGTACCTATCGATGTCGATTACAAGTAGCTATAGCACTGACGCGTCGAGACAGGCGAGCGATGGCCGCAAGACAGCGTGCACATGGTGCCGACAGATATTTTCTCACCCTTTTCAAATTCAAATCCGTTCCGACGCTTTTCATGGATAATTTCTGTCTCGAAAGTACCCACTCAATCCGATAATGCCCAGCAAAGTGCCGGATAAACAATTTTTTAAATAAAAATGCGAGAATCTGTCAAAAGCAGTATTTTTTAACTTTCACAAGCATTTTAGTGTCACAGTTGCTTTAAAGTCGCTTCTCCAAACTTTTAGACTAATTCGAATTTTTTAATACCCGCATTTATCGCTGGATATCTAATTATCGGTAAAATACTAAAGAATGGACACATCAGAATTATTCATACAATTTCAGAATTATACTGTATTGTTAGCCGTAAATATGAATAATTAGACTGTGAAATTTTATGCAAAATAAAGTTTATCTTCATCGGTTGCAGCAAAAATTTCTTTCATTCTTTATCAATTTCAGTGAGTTGAAAATAGTACATAGATGTCCATAAATTCTTTTAATATCTTCACTGTTTTAAATTTCATCTACCCGTTATTAATATAAATGCATAAAATCCGCTAATGATAGCACAAGAGAAAATCAATATTTGTTAATTAAAAATAAGCAAAGACAATCAATTCGACTCCAATAAAGTGATAATTAAACATTGTTGTATATGTCTATGAAATAAAAGATTTTTTTAGCATTAACGATTTTACATTTTCAAATCCGAACTTCAGTGTGGAACTTTTGAACCGGCTAATGTTGCTATCGTTTTTGCAGATATCGACGAATGTGCTGACGGGACGGCTGGGTGCTCGCAAATTTGTCAGAACGAGCCCGGAACTTTCCATTGCGAATGTCACTCTGGTTTCCAATTGGGAGTTGACAATAAATCGTGTCACGGTGGGTACTAGATTCAGTAAACTTCGCATCAATATCGCAAATATAATAGTAACTCAAGAACTATCGATAGACTGCGGATTTTTATTTGAAATAAAAATCTACCGCTTCAATTGCCAGATATCGATTCCAGAAACACATTCAATGCTTTCTTCAACAATTGTAACAATACTGTTCAGTTATTAGAATTCGTCTATGGTTCTAAATTACACCAATTTGTTTTGGTCATAAATAGACTAGGGAATAGACTAAGGATCTTTATGCAAAATAAGAATATCGTACATCGATTACAAGAAGCAGAAGCGAAATAAAAATAGTTTCTTCCAATAATTTTGTTAACTCGAAGATACCATAACGATATCATTAAACTCTTTTTATAGCTTCACGATTTCATATTTCATCTGCTCATTTCTGCCATAAATGCATAAAATCCGCAGTCTAACCGTCCCAGCCGAAGCGTATGGATTTTGGATACATTCGTGTTTCAAAGTTTCGAAGAAGCAACACGACCTGTGGTTTCCGAAAGATAAACGTCCCTGATCCAATTTCCGTTTTATCGGCACGATATTTTCAGCTTTAAACTGCGAGCGTGTGTTTTACTTGGGTCGCCCCGAAGCATCGTTATCTTTGTCAGAAGGTTTTTTTACGTTCTCCGAAACGAAGTCAAACCGTGCAACATGTACGACTCGCGGTTTCAATCGAACGAACGTTCGTTATCGCGGATAACAAATTTCACGAAACTCGATCCGCAATGTATTCGATAAATGAGCCGTTTATTTTGAAAGTGGCATAAGTCACTTTGTTTTCAAGTCGATATATTTAAGGGTTTGCGTTTTAACGCGTTCAAAAATATGGATGCTAACTTTCGAGAGGATTTATACTTGTATTTGTTATCTCAGGATACTGATATTTTTCTCAGTATAAATAATTTCGTATAAACATTAAAAAATCACCACTTTTCATTACGGTAAAATGACTTATGCCACTTTCAAAATAAACGGCTCAAATGTATTTTGTTCTTCGAGATGTGCGTCGAGAAAAATTTTGCCGCATCTGCGTTTCCAATTTCAGAAATACTTAACACGTTCCGTGCCGAGCTTTTTTTACTCGAATCTTCACACTTTGATATTTTACTAAAACTTGCTGTATTACGTGCAATTATTAATTCTCGTACACATAACAACGTAACAAAAACTTATCAACGCCCATTCTTGCGGTGGAAATTGATTCTTCGGTTCTAAATTTCTTGTAAACAATTTGTTCAGTTCACTAAGTAAACATGCAAGCGTGTACCATCGATGGTACACGTGGCACGGAACGTGTTAAGCATCGATATCGCAGATTTATGCTTGTCACGCGAAGTGAATTTTATATTATCTTTCTCCGGGTTAACTATTTATTTAAATGTGGCATGTGGGCGGTATTCTTAGCGGTTCGATAATTCCAGACGGTTCGGACAAACGAAACACCCGGTGTACAGCCGTCGCTAATTGATCGTTAACTCGAAACGCGTTAATCAGATTTTAAGACATTTCTGCGCCAGAGCTTTAGGGCAAATTAACTTCTTCACGGGTGAGTGACCAAACCGGAACAGGTCTGCAGCAACATCTGCGATCCAACGTAACCGAGGCAAGTGTTGCAAATAATCCACGGTTACCGAATCGCCTGATGTGGTCTGCGAATCTGGCCGTGTTTATGGTACGGCGCGGTTGCCTTCAAGTAAATAGCTGGAATTTCATTGCAGAAAAACATTCGGAACGCGGCGGATCCGGCAAACAAACACAATCATGCGGAATTCCGAACGTATGAAATTTCCGCGCGGGTATGAAATCATTAAAAACACTTGTCGGAGACGGTAAACCGTGACGTTTCGAATTCTGTTACAGCGGTCGCGACTCGTTGGTTATTTATTTTGCAGTTGGAAATTGTGTCGCGTTGGAAAGTAACGTAAACTAGCAAGCTTAAAAACAATTGTTTGATTTGATCTCGATTGGAAAGCTGTGCCGCAAAATAAACTATGCCTGCCGCGCAAAGGGCTGAAAGCATAAATATGCCGCAGTCGAGGATTCGAATTTGCAAGAATAATTTTCGGATAAACAGAGAGACCGAAAGATTTCGATGGAATTGTTGGGTCGTTTTCGAAGAATGAAAAATGTTTCTACATTCGAACGGTGAATGTAAAATTGTTGTTTCGCGTGCGAGATCACGAACGAAACACAATTAGGAGAAACTAAAGCGTAAAACAAATGTTGGTGAGAACCACGAAAGGATCTTTTGTAAAATTATGTTACAAAAGCGTGTTGTTGGTTGAAGTGATCCTTTGTCAAATTTAGCCCTCCACCGTTTGAAATCTACAGGAGAATTAAATTTATTTCTAAATTTACAATATATTTCGGAATTATGTATATTAATTCACGATAAGATTCAAATATGAATTTATGTAAAATTATATAAAGATATCAAATTGATAAAATGAGACTTATAAATAAAATTATAGAAATGAGTTAAAATTAAACAGGTTTATATATGAAATATAAATTTACGTATGAACTTACTATAAATTTCTATTATATTATTACATATTAATTTATAATAAAATTTAAAAACGTGCATTCATATAAAATTATACGAAGGCGTACAATTTATAAATTTTGCGACAGAATTAAAATGCTGCTTTCACGAATGCTTCGCCGTGAGCCAATGAGGTAATCCTTCAAGATTCCTTCGAGATTCGAATTAGCGAGAGTGCACCTTATTGTAGGACGTTTGCTTATTGATTTCACGGAAACTCCGACTGTAAAACTAACAGTTGAATCAATGCTTGATTAATGGAACGGGGGTATTCCAGAGACGCACGAAGAAGCATGCTTTCAATTTAAACAGATGCCATTCTTCGCTAACTAGACGTAACAATGCTTCTGAATAGATTTCGCTTGCCGTCTCAGCTTAAAGCGACGGACTGTTACATTAAACACAGACGAATCCATCGCAATTAATAATATCTGCGCAGACAGTGCAGATTGAAAATCGACGTATTTAGAGCACGTGACTTCATGACGCCGTACACATATTACTTCTAACTGGTTCGCGGATTTTATTTATATCGTACGCGATTGTCGAACGTCTGGCATGCCAAGTAATTTAATAAAGTTCAATGAGGTTTTCGTATTACGTGTTCGGTGACGGGACCTTTAGTCGAGTTGGCTAACTTCTGCTTGCTTCTAATTTCGACCCATTATGACCAGGCCGAGCTTGTTCGCGCGTGTATAGCTCGCAAGAATTTTCAATGTTCGGTAGAGTGCAGACGTTTTCATCGAAATTATGTTCTCTGTAATTAAATCAGACAATTTTTCTTCGCTCGAAGATCCGCAGTCCAGTTGTAACCTGTCAAATGAGTCAAGTTTGACTTATTTTCCTGCGAACGCTGGTTACAAGTTCGATCGCAACTATCGTAATTATTGCAACTATAACTCTGTTACGCACGTCACGGCACAGCTAACATCTATAAATGGCTCGAGGGCGCTAATTTGTTAATTAAAACAAGCGTTTCGCGACTAAACGATCGATTGAGCAATTTCTATTGTGTTAGTTTCAACCCCAACAAGTGAATTTACGAAAGAAAATTAATTAATACGCATCAGTTGATTGCAGTTGACGTGTTTGATTATGAAATAAATTTAAAGTTTATCCGTGAAATTATTTATATTAAAAATTGACACAAATTTAATATAAAGTATAAATTAATATAGATAATTTTAATGTATGAATTGAATTCATTTCTAGAAAAACTAGATATAAATAAAGTCGAATTACATTTCACATCCAATTTAATATTAATAATATTACATAAAAAAATTAGACTAAATTAACTCCTTTATTTTCGAGATCAATACAATTTTATTCTCAATTTAATAAAGCCTGATACAAAATGTTAGGTAATATAAACATCTCCAAAATATTCAAATAACTTCAAGTCTTTTAATAATTTCTATTTGACACTAATTTTGCCAAAGGGGTCAAATGACGCCTTTTAATCATTTTTAACACAAATTATTTCCTATGTTCCACGTTTTCTATGCAACCGCATTTCGACTATTACTATAGCCATCGCGAAATGAATTCGACAAATCCAATAATACCAAATATCGTTGAAAATTAGCGTTAATTCGAACCGTTCGTAATTTCGCTCGATGCGAATCGAAGATCGAGTGACATTAATTAAAGACCACCGTTTGAGGAAGAAGGGATGTTACCTAGGAATCGAAACGTTAATTTTCTGCACGTCGTGTATAAATGGCCCGGTGGAAAATTAGTATCGAACAATAGGTATTCTCAACAGTTCAATTTAACGGGGAGGGAAGTACGCGCGATCAATTCTCGATAGTATTCGAAGAATTAAACGAAGAACGAATCGAACGATTCGCGGAGCTTCCCTCCGTTCAATTTCGAAAGCAATTTACAAGGTTACTTGGTTGTTTCCGTTCAGACGTTAACGAGTGCCTCCTAAATAATGGGCACGGCCCGTGCCAAGGCACTTGTATCAATCTTGAAGGGAGCTACGAGTGTAGCTGCACCGACATTCCCGGTCACAAATTGGCGGCGGATAATCACACCTGCGAGGATATTGACGAATGTGCCGCGAACAACGGGGGATGTTCTCATGTATGCCTGAATACACCTGGGACCGTGTTCTGCCTCTGTCCTGATGGCTTCTATCTGAAAGACGACTGGAAAACGTGCCAAGGTAACAACAAGTGCCATTAGAGTTCATTATTTTTCACGTGGACCATTAAGCATTTTCATCACAATCGTTTCAATAATAATTATTATTTTGATTTGATATTTTAATAATAACTTCACGATAAGAATGATTATTTTCACGCAAATGTTTTCAATCGTAAGTCGTAGTTGCACGCGATCGAAATTTTGCTTTCGTTGCTCACAATCATTAGTTATTAAATCAATAATTTAATCGTTACTTATTTAATTAAAGACATAATCAGAAATAAAAACGCTTCGATAATTAGAGCGTTGAATTCTCAACTTAAAAAATTGTTTCTCTTTCAGCCGGAATACTAATGATTTTCCTGACGATTTTTCTGTAAAGAGTTTATAATTAATTTTTCGTTTTACATTATTCATAATTATTATTGATGACGGAAATTTGTTTGAATCAGTAATAACTTTTGAAGCAAATTTTGTATGTATTTACAAGTACATCAAGCGATAAATAGTTGGAACATTTAAACAATTTGAAGATATTGTATTGCCGTGAACTCGTTAAAGTTATTATAAAAAGAAATGAATGTCAATGTAGTACCGAGGCCTCGGTATTTGCATATGGCATATGGAAATGTTTTAAATAATTATCGAAAGAATATCTACCACAATGATGATAAGTGAAAATTAATTGTTGAAAAGCCCGCTTTTTCGTTGCGCGACGTTTTAATAAACGCTTTTGAAATTGTTCCACGGGAAACAGCGGAAACGTAAAACGCATCGTAAAATGCAGTTTTCAGACAGGTTGAAAATATTCCGAAACATAATTCTACTTTTATCGTTAGTGGGTGCGTGTAACTTCTTTATCTGTTATCTTTCGCCCGTAATTGCATACGTAATTAAGAGGAAACGTTGCAGCTCTTGAAGCAATCAAGCCCACGAGAAACTTATTTCTGCGGCTATGATACCTCCTCGAGTTTCGGAACGAAATTATAAAAATTCCTTTTTCCCCCGATATCATCTTCGCAAGTATCATCCTTCGCTTGTTATTTATCAGCGAATCAAGCGAACGATTTTATTGCCAACGATAAATACAGATTTTCAGTGGTTCATAAAATTTTTCTATACTCCGCGTTGCCGCCAGAAAAATGTTGAAAACGGAGCCGGTTATCTTGATACGCGTAAAAACGTCTTTTCGTTTCTGCGCGCATATCAAGTTACTTTTTCCGTACCGAGTGCTGGGAATGTTCGCTGGAGCGTTTCCAACCGAGCAGAAATGTTAAAAGCCCGTTTCATTCTTTGAACTTGAGTTACAGAAATTAAAAGCAATAGTTTTCTCCGGTTTTTCGCATCCCGGACGCGTATTCAGCATCGGATTATTAATCTGGGTCAGTATCGCATTTTCCAAAGCATTTGTTTCTTCACGATCGTTATTTCACGATGTCTTTGTAATTTCATGCTTGCTACAATTCTTTCGCTTCGGCAGACATAAAGGTGAGATCGTGTTCACGATTATATTTTACATTGAATATTGCGAGGCGTTTTAGCGAGACAAGTTTACGGTAACGATAAACAATACGGAATCGTTAATGAATTAAAAAATGGCGTTAAAAATTCTATCTGCATTTATGACAACATTTTAAATAGAAATGCAACAATATGGAGCGAATTATTTCGCACAAAATTTACAGATTTTCCAGTAACATCGATATGATAACCATATTAATAAAAATGACATTGTTTAAATAATTAATAATTAGATTTAATATCGCATGCCTCGCCGTATGCGTTTTAGCACAAAAATGGAACGAACCAACCAATATATCGGCCACTGTATCCCGCTGGAAAATTGAATTTGCAACGTTACACAGAACTTCCATCGAATTAAATGCGATTAATTCTCGAATATCGAAAATGAAATAATCGTTCGCCGCCTCGATTCGAAATGAAACGAAACAGTTGCTGCGAAAAGTGTTCGCATTTCTGAACACCATTAACTGGTCCCGCCAATCTGTTTTCTCGCTAGACGTGAACGAGTGCGAAAACGCGTCGAAGGTTTGCACGAACAACACCGAGTGCGAAAATACCGTCGGCTCGTATAAATGCGTCAGCAAGCCGCAGAAGTTGACGAAAGTCCTCCAAGACGAAGACTATGATGCCGAAGACGACGACGAAGACGACGACGACGACGACGACGAGGACGATTATGACGAGGAAGGCATCACTGAAATTCCAGAGTTCGGGAAATGCGAGGAGGGTCACAAGAAGGATCAAAATGGCGACTGCATTGGTATGAAAATCCTGCATAGCTTGCAATACGATTGACAGATAATCTTTACATAAGGCAATGCATAATATCTGTTACAATAATTTCAATTTTCTATGACCTGAATTTTTTACATGACTATCCTCCAAAATCTAAATTATCGAGTATAATTTTTTTATTTTCTAGAGTCCTCTTTTCTAATTATTACGTAAAAGTTATTTTGCGTTTCATTGGCCATGCTAAATTGTCTGTCATTTGTAGTCAACTGGGAGAAAATGTAACGTTTATTTAAAGAACGATCATTCGATCGTTTTCGTTAGAAATAGGTATATACAAAATGTCGGTAGATTTAGTATTAAATTCTGCGACTTAATCTTATGCGATTTTTGTCGTACTATACCTACACAGTGGCGGCTATATACTTCAAACAACCCCAGAAACACCCCATTTCCGGATTGCGAGACATTTTTGGGACACCCTGTATATTTGAGAACACTTGAAAAATCGTATATCTTTTTTAAAACTGGACTAAATATCTCGAGCTCTTTTTGTAGATGATAGAGGGACTAGTCTATATATATATATATATACTAGACAATGACTATAATACTTTTTTAAAATTTGTCACCATGCACATAAGTCGTCGACATCCAAAAAGCATTTTTTAAATTTTCGTTATAAGACAAAAAAATTAAGGAACATGCGTTTTTTAATATTTCCTTGCCATTCCAAGTAATATCAAAGTTCAAAAAATGCATTTTTGTCATTGTCAAGCAGACTAATTTATCATCTAAAAAAGAATTCAAGTCATCTAGACCAGTTTTAAAAAAAGTTATACCCTTCTTCAAGCGTTCTTAATTATACGATCGCGCCTGTACATTTTTACTACAATTTTCTATTTCTATCATCAATCACAATGTGAACAAAAATATCGAATTTCTACCCGAACGCCGCGACAGTAAGAACGCCCCACGATACCTTATTTAAAAGCCTGAAATCCATGTTAACTGCCAAACGAGCCCCCCGGTAAACAAGAATCCTCATTAGTGCTCGCATCGAGCACTATCTTCGGGCGCGAATAAAATTGGTTAGGAGCTGGTAAAACGGTAAACTTCCGCAGCGTGTTATCTTTTCATCGCGGCTTGTTTCCGTTAACACGGTTGCAGATATCGACGAGTGCGTGGAGGGTGACGAAGGGGAACCCCATGGCTGCCAGCAGGAGTGCATAAACGAGCCCGGCGGTTATTATTGCGCGTGTCGTCCCGGATTCGAGCTGCAAGAGGACGGGGTAACCTGCGAGGACGTTGATGAGTGTAAGAAAACCCCGTCGCCGTGCTCTCACGGCTGCAACAACACGGCGGGCTCGTATCGGTGCGACTGTCCTCGGGGATACAGCTTGAAAGGGGATAACATCGGCTGCGTTGAAACGGGAACATGCGAGACACTGATAACGCCTTGCCCTCACGGGTGTCAGGAGTCAAAGACGGGGCCGAGATGCATTTGTCCGCTGGGATATCAGCTGCAGGAGGACGGAGTCACCTGCTCGGACGTGGACGAGTGCGCTCTGGGCTTGTGCTCCCATTCCTGTGTCAATTTAGACGGGAGCTTCGAGTGCACTTGCCCGACCGGTCTCGAGGCCGGGGGCCACGACAAGCTCGACTGCGCTGATATCGACGAATGCGCCGGAGACGTTCACGGATGCGAGCACGAGTGCACGAACGTTCACGGCAGCTATTCCTGCGCTTGTCGCCTCGGATACGCGCTGAACGCCGACGGGAGAACCTGTTCCGACGTGGACGAGTGCTCGACCGACCGGCACAAGTGCTCTCACCTTTGCTACAACACTCCCGGCGGCTACAACTGTTCCTGTCCCGACGGCTACCAGCACTCGGGAGACGGTTACATCTGCAACGACCTGGACGAGTGTTCGACCGGCGAACACGGCTGTTCGCACGAGTGCGTCAACGAACAGGGACGCTACAGATGCGCCTGTCCCACAGGGTTCGCGTTAGGAAACGACTCGAAAGCTTGCCAGGACGTCGACGAGTGTCTAGAAGGGACCCATCGATGCTCTCACGAGTGCCTCAACGAACGGGGAAGCTACGCGTGCACCTGTCCCGCAGGGTTCGCTCTGGGAAACGACTCGAAGGCTTGCCTGGACGTCAACGAGTGTCTGGAAGGAACTCACCGATGCTCCCACGAGTGCGTGAACCTGCCAGGCTCCTACGAATGCGCGTGTCCCGTAGGAACGTCCTTGCTGAACGACAAAAGATCCTGCAAACCGATCGATTACTGCAGCTTCGCCAACTGCTCCCACATTTGCGAGAGGATACACGACACCTTCAAATGCAACTGTCCCGACGGCTACGTCCTGCTGGACGACGGCAAGACTTGCCAGGACTTCGACGAGTGCGTCGAGGACGAGCACGATTGCTCGCACGAGTGCGTGAACACGGTTGGAAGCTACAAGTGCGTTTGTCCGGAGGGTTTGACGCTGCTGCAGGACGGTTTGACCTGCCACGACGCTCTGTGCGCCGCGGGACTCCGCCAGGACGAGGACGGCCAATGCCAGGACATCGACGAGTGCTTGCTGGGGGACCACGAGTGCTCGCATATTTGCAACAACGAGTACGGCTCGTACCGTTGCTCCTGTCCTCCGGGATGGACGCTGACCGATGACCTGACCACGTGTACAATCGACCTTTGCTCGACCGCGAACTGTTCCCACCTGTGCGTGGTGAACGACTCCAGGCATCGGTGCGAATGTCCTTCAGGGTACAGGCTGGGTCGCGACGGGTCGACTTGCGAGGACATCGACGAGTGCGAGGAGCCGAGCACGTGCCAGTTCTTCTGCAGGAACAGCGAAGGTTCGTACTCCTGCGACTGCCTGGAAGGATACCGGCTGGACAACGACAATCGCACTTGCGTGGACGTCGACGAGTGCGCAACGGAGACCCACGACTGTCCAAACGACTGCGTGAACACCGAAGGAGGCTACGACTGTTCTTGCCCCGCTGGACACCTGTTCTCGCAAGAGGATCGAGCTTGCGAGGACGTCGACGAGTGCCAGGACGCCGAGCACGAACACGACTGTTCTCACGAGTGCGTGAACGTCGTTGGAAGCTACAACTGCAGTTGTCCGGCAGGCTGGAGTCTGCTCGAAGATTTAAGGAACTGTAGACCAATCGCCGAGCTGAATTGTTCGCACACCTACGAACAGGACGAAGACGAGATCCGGTGCGGGTGTCCCGAAGGCTTTCAGTTGGGCGACGATGAGAGGACCTGCGAGCAGGTGGACAGATGCACCGAGGGACTGCACACTTGCAGCCACGTCTGCGTAAACACCAACGGGTCCTACCACTGCGAATGCCTGCCGGGCTACCGACTGAAGGACGACCGGGAGACCTGCGAGGACGTCGACGAGTGTCTCAGCGACAACGGCGACTGCTCCGACATTTGCGCGAACACCGAGGGCAGCTTCCACTGCAAGTGTCCGGACGGCTACGAGTTAACCGAGGACAATAAGACGTGTCGAGACGTCGACGAATGCGAGCAGGACCGCCACGGTTGTTCCCACGGTTGCGACAACTTCGAGGGCGGTTTCAGGTGTTCCTGCCCGGAGAACCTGGTCCTCGGCCGGGACAACAGGGTCTGCCTGGACGTACGCTACTGCGACCAGCCGCGCAACTGCAGCCACGTGTGCACGAACGTTCCCGGTGGTTACAAATGCGAGTGTCCCGCCGGCATGGCGTTAATCTCCGACGGTCGGACGTGCGAGGAAATTGATTTTTGCGCGACAGCGCACAATTGCTCCCACGAGTGTGTCAGCGGGCCGGAAGGCTTCAGGTGCGATTGTCCGACGGGATATGTCTTGTCTGCGGACGGTAGAACTTGCGAAGACAAGGACGAGTGCGAGGAGGCGGCCGAAGAGGGCGGCGAAGGGGACGGAACAGCGAACAACGGTTGCTCCCATTCTTGTGTAAACACGGCCGGCAGCTTCCACTGCGAGTGTCCGCTCGGCTATCGGCTGACCACCGATCGGAAGACCTGCGAAGACGTGAACGAGTGCATCGAGGACAACGGCGGGTGCTCGCACCTCTGCGCGAACATCGAGGGCGGCGTCGAGTGCGCCTGTCCCGATAATTACAAGCTGCTGGAGGACGACGGGAAGACCTGCGTGGAGATCGACGAGTGTCTGATCGACAACGGCGGATGCTCCCATTTGTGTCATTACGAGAACGGCACCGTGGCCTGCTTCTGCCCGCCGAGCATGCTGCTCGCCGAGGACAACGCCACTTGCCTCGACGAGAACAAGTGCTACCTGGAGAACGGCGGATGCTCCCATTTCTGTAGCTACAGCGCCGGCAAGGTGTCTTGCACCTGTCCGCAGGAGATGACCCTGGCCGAGAACGGCACCACCTGTCTAGAGAGGAACGACTGCCTCGTGGACAACGGCGGCTGCTCGCACGACTGCAATTACGAGCACGGCGCGACGTTCTGCTCCTGTCCGACAGGCATGACCCTGTCCGACGACAAGCAGCTATGCGTCTACGAGAACAAGTGCCTGGTGCACAACGGCGGCTGCTCGGACATCTGCGCCTTCAGCGACGGGTCCATCGGATGCGAGTGTCCCTCGGGATTCCAGCTGTCCAGCCAAGACAACGCCACCTGCGTGGACGTCGACGAGTGCGCTGCCGGCAGGGACAACTGCACGCACGAGTGCCTGAACGTGCCCGGCGGGTTCGAGTGCGCCTGCAACGCCGGCTTCGCGGCGAACCCGCTGGAGCCAGCGTTCTGCGACGATGTGAACGAGTGCGAGGACGAGACCGGCGGGTGCTCGCACACCTGCCAGAACCTGGTGGGCTCGTTCCGGTGCACTTGCCCGGCCGGCTACGACCTCGCGAACAATAACAAGACGTGCACGCTGGTGGACGCCTGCAAACAGAACAACGGAAACTGCTCGCATCATTGCCACTTCGACGAGACCACCAAGAGCAACCGGTGCTCCTGCCCGTTGGGCTTCCAGCTCGGCGAGGATCAAAGGACCTGCGAGGACGTGAACGAGTGCGAGGAGTTCGAGAACGACGTGGACCTCGGCTGCTCGCACATCTGCAAGAACACGAACGGCTCCTATTACTGCGAGTGCCCGTCCGGCTACATCCTGCTGCCGGACGACCGGAAGAGCTGCATCGACCTGAACGAGTGCCTGACCACCCAGCACAACTGCAGCCACGACTGCCTGAACCTCCTCGGCAGTTACGTGTGCACCTGCTACGAGGGACACTACCTGCACTCCGACAAGTCCACTTGTCTCGACATCGACGAATGCCTCGAGAGGAACGGCGACTGCTCCGACCGCTGCACCAACACCATCGGCGGTCATTTCTGTTCCTGTCCGCCGGGATACGAGCTGGCCGAGGACGAGAAGACCTGCGTCGACGTGGACGAGTGCGAGACGGGCGCCGCGAAGTGCCTTCATCGATGCGACAACACTCCGGGCTCCTTCGTCTGCCTGTGTCCGGCCGGCCACGTGCTGGCGAACGACTCGACGAGCTGCGTCGACGTCGACGAGTGCAAGCTGGACAACGGCGGATGCTCGCACGTCTGCGTCAACGTCGACGGAGACGTCGGCTGCAGCTGTCCCGCGGGGCTGCGATTAGACGAGTCCGGGAAAAACTGCGAGGACGTCGACGAATGCCTCGCGGAGAACGGGGGATGCTCGGACACCTGCGTCAACACCGACGGCAGCTTCGTCTGTCGGTGCGCGGCCGGGTTCCGCTTGGAAATGGACGATAAGACTTGCAGAGATGTCGACGAGTGCGAGATGGAGAACGGAGGATGCTCCGACGTCTGCGTTAATCTCGACGGTAGCTATCGCTGCGAGTGCCCCAATGGGTACCGGCTGGAGGAGGACCGGAAGTCCTGTGCGGACGTCGACGAGTGCGAAGAGGACAATGGCGGATGCTCGCACGTTTGTATCAACGAGCAGGGCTCCTTTCGGTGCGACTGTCCTGTTGCCTATCGGTTGGTGAACGAATCCTGCCGGCCCGTGGATCCCTGCGCCGATAATAACGGCGGCTGCCAGCAGATTTGCAAGGTGGAACAGAACTTGACCGTATGCGCCTGCAGAGAAGGGTTCCAGTACGACGAAGCCGATCCCAGCAAGTGCAAAGACGTCGACGAATGCAGCGGGCAACATGGCTGCGCGCAAGAGTGCGTGAACACTGTCGGGTCCTTCGAGTGCAGGTGCAGGGACGGCTTCGAGATGCTGGATTCGGCGTGCATGGGTGAGTGCTTCTGCTTATTGCGTTTTATTTATTCATCATTTTTTGATGACATTGTTTAATCATTTTAGCGCCGAACAACGATATTTCTCGGGGAAATATTGTTTTCTTAATATTTTTAGCACGTAACACTTTTATTTCTTGTTACTTTTTCATCTCCGAGTTTTCTAATTATCAGGTCTTTTTTACAAAATCTGTGTAACTTCTCGAATTTTTACAAAATTTTATCAAAATATTAGGGGGACCGGAAAGTTATGTCGTTTGTTTACATTAAATTCAAACAGATAAATATGCGCAGAAACGACATTACTTTCCGGTCCCCCTAATAGTTTCGTATATTTCGCTCACGTACACGCGATTCAGGTAACGCAGATTAATAATGTAAATTGTTAATAGTTCGCGGTTTCTATCCGGAAGCATCGGATTATGCTTAATTAACATTAGACTGCGGAACTTTATGCGATATGAAAGTTGCGTGTATCAGTTGCAAGAAACGGGAACAGCAATACGCATTTGTTCTTATTTCGAATAATCATATTCAATTGTAACTAATACAGTCGAATTGTTAATTTTTCCAATGACCTCCTTCCATTCGTTTTGTCATAAATGTATAAAATTCGCAATCTAGTAATTATTTGAAAATCTTCGATATAAAATCAAAAATACGAGAATTATAAATAATTCGTAGAAATATTATTATCTCTGTAACAACGCGTGTTGTATATTTAACCGCGATGAATGAATATTACGGGGTTAGCGTATATGAAACTGTTCATCGCAGATAGCATAGGAGTGATTTTAAAACGAAGATAAGACAACAATGGTTAACTCTGGATCGCAAGAATAATAATACGGCGGCGGAGTTAATCTGTACGAAGTATAGATACCGCACGAAAATTTGAGGACAATCCAATTAACGTTAGTGAACCGTAAGGATGCGATTCTATTATGCGATATTGCTAGATCTCACTTCGCAGAACTGATTGCACGAAAACTAGACGATCCAAGATAATCCCGTGGAATCGTCTCTACTCAACGATCTTAATTGAACAGATTTTTGTTTGATCAGACGGCTGGATAAGTTTTTAAAGCGATAAACAACGCGCTCTCATTGGGGATTTGTGTCTCACAGGGCTTTTTTAACCCTTNNNGCGTCAACGTCGACGGAGACGTCGGCTGCAGCTGTCCCGCGGGGCTGCGATTAGACGAGTCCGGGAAAAACTGCGAGGACGTCGACGAATGCCTCGCGGAGAACGGGGGATGCTCGGACACCTGCGTCAACACCGACGGCAGCTTCGTCTGTCGGTGCGCGGCCGGGTTCCGCTTGGAAATGGACGATAAGACTTGCAGAGATGTCGACGAGTGCGAGATGGAGAACGGAGGATGCTCCGACGTCTGCGTTAATCTCGACGGTAGCTATCGCTGCGAGTGCCCCAATGGGTACCGGCTGGAGGAGGACCGGAAGTCCTGTGCGGACGTCGACGAGTGCGAAGAGGACAATGGCGGATGCTCGCACGTTTGTATCAACGAGCAGGGCTCCTTTCGGTGCGACTGTCCTGTTGCCTATCGGTTGGTGAACGAATCCTGCCGGCCCGTGGATCCCTGCGCCGATAATAACGGCGGCTGCCAGCAGATTTGCAAGGTGGAACAGAACTTGACCGTATGCGCCTGCAGAGAAGGGTTCCAGTACGACGAAGCCGATCCCAGCAAGTGCAAAGACGTCGACGAATGCAGCGGGCAACATGGCTGCGCGCAAGAGTGCGTGAACACTGTCGGGTCCTTCGAGTGCAGGTGCAGGGACGGCTTCGAGATGCTGGATTCGGCGTGCATGGGTGAGTGCTTCTGCTTATTGCGTTTTATTTATTCATCATTTTTTGATGACATTGTTTAATCATTTTAGCGCCGAACAACGATATTTCTCGGGGAAATATTGTTTTCTTAATATTTTTAGCACGTAACACTTTTATTTCTTGTTACTTTTTCATCTCCGAGTTTTCTAATTATCAGGTCTTTTTTACAAAATCTGTGTAACTTCTCGAATTTTTACAAAATTTTATCAAAATATTAGGGGGACCGGAAAGTTATGTCGTTTGTTTACATTAAATTCAAACAGATAAATATGCGCAGAAACGACATTACTTTCCGGTCCCCCTAATAGTTTCGTATATTTCGCTCACGTACACGCGATTCAGGTAACGCAGATTAATAATGTAAATTGTTAATAGTTCGCGGTTTCTATCCGGAAGCATCGGATTATGCTTAATTAACATTAGACTGCGGAACTTTATGCGATATGAAAGTTGCGTGTATCAGTTGCAAGAAACGGGAACAGCAATACGCATTTGTTCTTATTTCGAATAATCATATTCAATTGTAACTAATACAGTCGAATTGTTAATTTTTCCAATGACCTCCTTCCATTCGTTTTGTCATAAATGTATAAAATTCGCAATCTAGTAATTATTTGAAAATCTTCGATATAAAATCAAAAATACGAGAATTATAAATAATTCGTAGAAATATTATTATCTCTGTAACAACGCGTGTTGTATATTTAACCGCGATGAATGAATATTACGGGGTTAGCGTATATGAAACTGTTCATCGCAGATAGCATAGGAGTGATTTTAAAACGAAGATAAGACAACAATGGTTAACTCTGGATCGCAAGAATAATAATACGGCGGCGGAGTTAATCTGTACGAAGTATAGATACCGCACGAAAATTTGAGGACAATCCAATTAACGTTAGTGAACCGTAAGGATGCGATTCTATTATGCGATATTGCTAGATCTCACTTCGCAGAACTGATTGCACGAAAACTAGACGATCCAAGATAATCCCGTGGAATCGTCTCTACTCAACGATCTTAATTGAACAGATTTTTGTTTGATCAGACGGCTGGATAAGTTTTTAAAGCGATAAACAACGCGCTCTCATTGGGGATTTGTGTCTCACAGGGCTTTTTTAACCCTTCGCACTCGAAGACATTTTAATATCAATTTATACGATTTTGTGCATTTCATGTACATGAAATTGAGTCTTATAATGTAAACATTATTTTGGAACGTGATACAAAAATTGTTAATGATGTCTCGAAATCATTCAGAGTGCAAAGGATTAAAAAGAAAAGGGTTAAAATTATAAAGAAGTGTAAATTCTATTATAATGCTTTAATATTATATCTACGAAACATACGAAGTCAGAACGAAGAAAGAGATAGATAATTACACTGCGAATTTTTGTGCAAGATAAAAATTGTCAGCGTTAACTAAATAGAAATTAAATGGAACTTTATTTTTCTCTTTAATGATTTTAATAGGTTGACAATAATGCAACAGTACTTTCAACTACTTTAAATCTCTGTACTGTTTCATACAACACTTACTCATTTTTGTCATAAATGCATAAAATCCGCAAATATCTTCATATTTCCAATATGTCTTCTATTAAAAAACAAACACCGAAGATCACCGAATGGAAGATCGAGAATATGCAATGGATATGTGTATAAGTTGCGCGTATGCTTTCAGATATTAATGAATGCGCGAGTAATCCATGCCAGGAGACTAAGTGCATCAACACTTATGGCAGCTATCGATGCGATTGCGAGGCCGGATATCGATTGGACGGGGATAATTGTGTAGGTTCGTGAAAAAAAATTATTTGCCCTAAAGTCCGATTAATTTGCATTACTCTTATATGGTTCGCGGGAACTCGCATTCTCTGGCTCGAAACGGAATGAGTTTTTCTGAAACGAAAGCACGGAATGCTACGAACTTATTTAGATCTTTTCGATTGAATTTTTGTCAGAATATTTTGCTCTTAATTTAGTTTCTTAGATCCAGAATAAGCCTTAGAATAATAAGAATTATAAGTATAGTATAAGTATAGAGGCTGAGATGGATTAGCAATTTATCAGGAAAATGAAAATTCTATGAAATCGGGTACTCCGACAATTTTCACGTATTCGAGTGTTATTACGAACGGAGAAAGTTCGACGACACCTAATCGCTTGTCGGTAAACGTATGCAAAATTGGTCCGGCAGAAAACGGGCGCATCGCCGTTCAGGATTCCGTGTCCGCGCACTTGTGCGGTAGGATTTAAATTCAATGTCGGTGATTGCATAGGCAAGTATATTGAAGCGTATAACACATGTTCATATATTGACACGTTTATGAGCATCGTCGAACTCGAGGCATACTTGCCCAACGTGACTTCGACGAGATGCAGAGGATACCGGCACGTCCTATAGTGTATTTCACGGTTTAATAACGAAATTTTGGCGCTATTATTTTTAAATAAATTGCAAGTATTATGACTGATGCGTCGCACACCCAAGGTCGACAACGATGACCTTGATTTCAGAAATTTAATTCTATCTTTCCCGAAGGGGTCATAGTATATTAGATGGTTGAATTTGTTTCCTCTCATTGGCGATAAACACAAATCGAAATAAATAAATAAAATGAAACAAACTTCGCTATTCCGGAAGTCCTAATACAGCGTGTCATTTTACAAAGTCAAGGTAACCTTGTTTCTTTATCGATTATTATTTATATTTCTTGGAATTTTATATATTTAAATACGTAGTCGACTAATTAACATTCTGATAAGCTAATTAACATACTGATTAACATTCGTTGGAAAATTTTTTTGTCAGACTGTCTCAAGAGCCTGAGAAATTAACTGGAATGTCTGATCATCGCATGCCGATTCTACTTATCGTCCTGTTATAAGCCACGTTAAATTACAAAATGTTGATCTTCTTTCTGGACTTATTTTTTGATTATTTTAGCTGAACTAAATTTTGTCTTACGTTGAATCATACATGTGTCGGTTACACACGGCGACGTTACACGATTAAGACGTTTAAAATAAACAATAGGAAAACGTTAATTGACTTTTACAAATGGAATAATCTCTTTTGTGCAATTAGATATAAACGAATGCGAATGGAACAATGGTAGATGCGAGCAGGTTTGCATCAACACAATGGGATCTTACATTTGTGCCTGTCGCAGCGGCTTCGTACTGGATCAAAGGTAAGGAAACTAATTAAATTAACGCTGAACCAGAGCATATGGTTTCGAGGAAACTTCATTTCAATACGGCACTTGATAATATTCCAGGTGCAACAATATATAATAGGCGAGTCACGTTACTTGCACGCTTGAAATAACTTTTAAATTAGGAATCGCGTAATTATCGTACTCGGCAATTTGTCATAAAACGCGTAATTTGAAAGTTATTCAATTCAATTCAAACAATTTATCCGATTCATTCGGATAACAATTCATTTCAATGAGAAGCTATTTGTTATTCTCGAAGAAGAATTTATTTGTACAGGAATTAATTCGGAAAATAATCGATTTGCAAGAAATTGTTACAATTTAAAGCGTTTTATTTTTCACAGTTTATCGATTAATCGCTTTCGTGCCAATGTTTACAATTAATATCTCTGTTCAACTGCTGTAAATCGATTGTTGACATAATACATTTTTTTAGATAAATATTTGTTGGAAACAATTCGAATAATGCCCAACTCTGACGTAGACACAGATTTATAGATCGTCAAGAGTGACACGCATTAGCTCGACAATGGCAGACAATGATATTCCAAAACCGGCCCGGAAGTTTAACAATAATTACTCGTTCCCGGGTGCAAACTTCTAGGGGGAATTCTTCGCGTTGTTGTAATCCGCGTCTACGGAAAATATTCAGGAAACCGCGATCTCCATGAATTTCAAGCACATGAATTTCGCCGGGCGCAGTTTCGCGGTCGCTTGCGATTCAGGCGCGAATCAAACGAGCTGTAAATAAAAGCTTCGAAGACATCGACGCGGAAAGTTCCCCCGAACAAATTCGTGGCCTTTGTTCCGCAGAAACAGAACCCGGTGCCAGGATATAAACGAGTGCTTGAACCGTAACGGCGACTGCAACGGTGAATGCGTTAACACCGCCGGAAGTTACTACTGTACGTGCAGCGGGGACTTGGTGTTGGCTTCCGACGAGAAAACTTGCGTTTCACCGGAATTGAGATGTCGGGCCATGGAACCGCCGCTCCACGCTGAAGTGCGTAACAAATTTATTACACGAAACATACTTGAACACACGTGTACCGAGCACCCCGACCACGTCGAATCCACTCGGCCACGAATTTTAATCGCGACGCGGTCGCGGCGATTATTAACACCGGGTTTTGCGAATGTTTCTCGCACACACCTATCTCTATGGCGTTTCTATGGCTATTCTTCGCTGCAGCCCGGTCGCAACAGTCCCTCCGTTCGCGCAATTTACCGTAATTTCTTTGTGCAATTAATGCGCGCTGCTGGCGCGGCTTCAAATACTCGAAAAGAAAGAATTCGTTTCGGAACGAAGGATAGTCGAATGGAATACAAAATTTCAATGAGAAATTTCGCTCACCGAGTTACCGTAAATTCTGCAAATAGCGATGGCAAAACTTGCTTGACACTTTTATGCGACTGAGTCAATTTTGATATTTTAACGAATACGCGTCTTAGCGAATTCAAAGTTTCGATCGATAATTTTTGCAAATACGTAGAAGCAACGATCCATCCGCTGTCATCGTTTCGATGATAGTACAATGAGGTGGAACGTTATTATATCGATCGAAATATTTGGTTCGCTCGTCGCTTCCATTTTAATCGGGTCTTATCGAAGCGTTGGTCGCGCGGATATAATTTCATTCATGGAGTTTCGTGCAGTGTCCGGCTCCTTTTAATGGACGAGAAGGGCTCGGGAAGTTTTCGGTCTCGGGGTTGCATTGTATTTCTGAAACTCATCTTATTCCAGATCAGATGTCCCGGCCATTCTTCTGGGGCAATGGATTATCCTGTTGGAGCCAGATGTCATATACGATGCCGAAGGGGATTCAGGTTGGAAGGACCTCACACGAGATATTGTATGGCTGGCAACCGATGGAACGGCAAGGAAACCACTTGCGTTCAAGAATCGATCGCGATCGATTCTCGTTACCATTCCGGTAAGCTCGTCGCTTAATCTCTTTATTGCGTGGATCTGCCGAGACTGTGTTAAATCAATTTTCAAGGGTATCTTCCAAAAATGGAGCCCCCCGTTCGAATCAGAAATGGTTTCAGTCAAAAATGGTCGTTTCTGAATAACGAAGGATCAATTAACAGTTCTGTTAAATGCAATAATATTGAAAATTGTTGCAGCTCTTTTATGCAAGCCCCTTTCAAGCTTCACCTTAAAATAATGATATAAGAAATTAAATTACACATGATTTAATAATATACAATCAATCTAGCATGAAATATAAGTACAAAAACGCAAAGGGTTAATCGAATTCTAGACAAATCATCCATCAACTTTTACTAGAAAATAAGAATAATTTATATTTATTTTATTTTTTATTACAATATAATTTATATAGTAATCATTTATTTATTATATGGGTAAAGACCCGCTGTCACAGAAAAGGAAATATAAAGGAAGAGTTAAAATGGAAAATTTAGAGTACCTGAATAACGTCAGATCAGAGTATATAAATAAGTCAGATGTGACTTATTTTCCTGCGAACGCTGGTCTCGATTCGAATTTCCCAACCGAGGACGAAACGTACCGAAAATAGAGCGGTCAACGCGGAGATCGGTTTCTGCAGCCGATCGTGAAAAAAGATCGGGCGCCGGAGGCTATTATTTACCGACGAAAATCCTCCGGCGTATTTAATTAGTCAGGCGGCCGCTCTAAACAGCTTTTAATAATAGGAAGTTCCGGCGCGGAGGCCGGTCGCTAACGACGCCGTACGTTAACGCCATGCCTTAACGAGCTTGCAGGGGATACGTTCTCCTTTTTTACATTTCATTTCTCGGTCTCCCTCCCACTGTCTTCAGCCGTTCGACCTTTTTACCACCGACAACCTATTTTTCTTCCCCACAATGCTCGCCGGTTGCTTTAACACAAGAAAAAGAATTTTTGCTCTCAATCGCGCTCTTTACTTGCCCTTTATCGGCCGCCTAGTTAAATTGCAGATGAAAATCGCTGACGCGGTGTCATTCGAAGAGCAAACCTTGGAAACTATTCGAGAAATTACGTCCATTACGAACGAAAACGGTGATATTAGGCCTGTTAAACGGGCCTTTTGAATTTCCCTGTAATTTAACTGCGAACTTTTTCAGATGTAAGTTTTTCAGTGCGAACTTTTATAAACGTAAGTTATTCGGTAAACTTTCAACTGAATGTATTTCTATCTCTGTTTCGAGGGAACATTTACGTCAACGCTTTAATCCTGTCGCAAAAGTTAGCAAATTGTAAAAGCATATTTGAACTGTTGTTCTTGTATTTCACTTATAGAAATGCCAAAGGAATTTCTTAACGGATCTTTTCACGTAAAATGAAAAGAAGTTTATGCTATTTTTCAATTTACTTAGCACTATTTAACGAACTGAATAAGAACAATTTTATTTGATAAATAACATGTATTTCCTCTGCCATATATGAAATAAAAAATGACGAAATAGCTAATTATTTTAAATTACTATTATTTGAAATGTCTCGATGTTATTACAATTATATATAATTATATTATATATATAATAATATATACTAGTACTAGTAGTATTATTACTAATACTAATTATTACTTACTAATACTAGTTTTTTTATTTTTTATTATTACTTACTAATACTAATAGTATTATTATATATAATAATACCGTCATTTATTTTCAACTGGCAACATCGAAAACAACGATTCGAAATGATGATTTATGTCGAATCATTATTTCTCGTTTTCATATCGAATCATATTCGCCCGGTTCAAAACCCGGTATCAAAACCCGGCGCGCCTTTAATATCGACGAACAGCTGTACAACGTAGTAAACAATTAGATCTGAAGCAAGAAGGTGGTCGCGTACGATCGAAGAGGGCCGGCAGCCGCCGCGTGGAAGCGAAAGGGAACGCTGAAGTAATTGAGCCCTACAGCAATTTAGCGAGTAGTCGATAATTTGATTACAAGCACGGAGACAGTTCCGCGGAACGTGATAACATCAGCACGGTGTAAGGATACGGTGTCGTCACCGTTGCGTTGCGTTGCGTTATATCCTTCGTCCCGATATTAATTCTAGTACTGTAATTCCGCCGGACGTTTCAGGGAAAGCCGAATGTTTAATAATAGGCCTTGTTGCTCCAGACATGCCGCGGCCGTTCGTCAGGTGCCCACGGGACATGGACGTCGAGCTACCCGCGAGGCAAAACACCATACGCGTCTCATTCCCGCAGCCTAAATCCAACATGAACTGGTGGAGGTATTTATCCCAATACTTACTACTTATTTCGGTCATCGTGGTGATCTAGATATCGCGTCACTTCACTTTCACTGCAATTCAACGTTTACAACAGACATTTTTGTATATCTTTGTATTTATTATTATTATTATTATTATTATTATTATTATTATTTGTTAATTATTATTATTTATTAACCAGTTAGCTGTGTTTGACGAGTATACTCGTCATGGAGAAATAGCAATATTTTGTGTCATGACGAGTATACTCGTCGTGCGTAAGAAGTAGCGACCATTGGCTATTTAAATTGTAATTTTAAGAAAAACAAAAACATGTTCTCAAATTTCAAGATGTTCAGAATATTTTCAGGCCAATCCTGCACGAAGTTGTTTACATTGTTATAAAAATAAAATTAGAAAAGAATCACGGTATTGGTGTTCGACGTGCAAAGTGCCATTATATATTGTTCCTTGCTTTGCTAAATACCACTCTCTCTCTCTCTCTATATATATATATATATATATATATATATATAGCAGCAATTTGAATTTTTAACTTTTATAAGTATTTGATTATTCCTGGGCAGAATGAAACTTGAAAGTATGATATAAGAGATATTTACTTTTTATATTATTCTCATAGCTTTATGTTCGTATTATTCATATTATGCAGTATAAATTCATGGTAGATGAAATCCATAAATAGTGCAGAACGGTGAGTAATTAACGATACTCGATTAATTCGCTCGGAGTTAACCAGGCACTGTTAAAATTGATTGCATATAAATGAAGTTCCTGTAGACGGATTTCTAGCAGAACAGTTCCGCTTTGTGACAGGTAGTAATCAAGTAATGAATCCAGAACCGGGAACTGGGAGAAGCGGCGCGATATTCGATTTTCTCAAATGAAAATGCATTTACCGTGTTAAATTGTATTAGCAAATATAGAGATATTTTCATCCGATTATAGACTATTCGGTTTGCAAATTATACGACAAACGTACAGATTGTGTTGTTTAATGCGCTCTTCTGGTACCGAATCGTTACAGAACGCGAGAACACCAGCAATATTTCATTTAGTTTATCAGAACTACAGTACAGTTAAGTTTATCGGATGTATAGTAATGTCTCTCTAATTGACGCTTAGATTGTACACAGAAAAGGACAATTTGGGAACAGGAGATGCGATTATTTGAGCTTTGCACCGCGTTTTTATAATTGTTGACAATCGGCAACTATATAAATGTGCCTCAAGTCTCGAAAAATTGTGTCTCCTCTTCCCAAATTTTCCATTTCTCTGCACAATCTGAGCGTCAATTAGGGAGACATTATTGTACTACGTATATGAATCGAGGCAGTATAGTAATGTCTCCCTAATTGACGCTCAGATTGTCCACAAAAATTTTGACAATTTTGGAAGAGGAGATACGATTGTTCGAGCTTTGTGGCTCGTTTTTTATGGTTATCGATTGTCAACAACTATAAAAACAAGCTACAAGACTCGAAAAGTCGTGTCTCCTCTTCCCAAATTTCCCATTTTTCTGCACAATCTGAGCGTCAATTAGNTCTCTCTCTCTCTCTATATATATATATATATATATATATATATATAGCAGCAATTTGAATTTTTAACTTTTATAAGTATTTGATTATTCCTGGGCAGAATGAAACTTGAAAGTATGATATAAGAGATATTTACTTTTTATATTATTCTCATAGCTTTATGTTCGTATTATTCATATTATGCAGTATAAATTCATGGTAGATGAAATCCATAAATAGTGCAGAACGGTGAGTAATTAACGATACTCGATTAATTCGCTCGGAGTTAACCAGGCACTGTTAAAATTGATTGCATATAAATGAAGTTCCTGTAGACGGATTTCTAGCAGAACAGTTCCGCTTTGTGACAGGTAGTAATCAAGTAATGAATCCAGAACCGGGAACTGGGAGAAGCGGCGCGATATTCGATTTTCTCAAATGAAAATGCATTTACCGTGTTAAATTGTATTAGCAAATATAGAGATATTTTCATCCGATTATAGACTATTCGGTTTGCAAATTATACGACAAACGTACAGATTGTGTTGTTTAATGCGCTCTTCTGGTACCGAATCGTTACAGAACGCGAGAACACCAGCAATATTTCATTTAGTTTATCAGAACTACAGTACAGTTAAGTTTATCGGATGTATAGTAATGTCTCTCTAATTGACGCTTAGATTGTACACAGAAAAGGACAATTTGGGAACAGGAGATGCGATTATTTGAGCTTTGCACCGCGTTTTTATAATTGTTGACAATCGGCAACTATATAAATGTGCCTCAAGTCTCGAAAAATTGTGTCTCCTCTTCCCAAATTTTCCATTTCTCTGCACAATCTGAGCGTCAATTAGGGAGACATTATTGTACTACGTATATGAATCGAGGCAGTATAGTAATGTCTCCCTAATTGACGCTCAGATTGTCCACAAAAATTTTGACAATTTTGGAAGAGGAGATACGATTGTTCGAGCTTTGTGGCTCGTTTTTTATGGTTATCGATTGTCAACAACTATAAAAACAAGCTACAAGACTCGAAAAGTCGTGTCTCCTCTTCCCAAATTTCCCATTTTTCTGCACAACCTGAGCGTCAATTAGAGAGACATTACTGTATTACGTATATGAATCGAGGCAGTATAGTAATGTCTCTCTAATTGACGCCCAGATTGTCCACAAAAATTTTGACAATTTTGGAAGAGGAGATACGATTGTTCGAGCTTTGTGGCTCGTTTTTTATGGTTATCGATTGTCAACAACTATAAAAACAAGCTACAAGACTCGAAAAGTCGTGTCTCCTCTTCCCAAATTTCCCATTTTTCTGCACAATCTGAGCGTCAATTAGAGAGACATTACTGTATTACGTATATGAATCGAGGCAGTATAGTAATGTCTCTCTAATTGACGCTCAGATTGTCCACAAAAATTTTGACAATTTTGGAAGAGGAGATACGATTGTTCGAGCTTTGTGGCTCGTTTTTTATGGTTATCGATTGTCAACAACTATAAAAACAAGCTACAAGACTCGAAAAGTCGTGTCTCCTCTTCCCAAATTTCCCATTTTTCTGCACAATCTGAGCGTCAATTAGGGAGACATTACTGTAATACCTTTCACTTTCTTTATCGTTACGTTCTTCATTCTCGTCCTCTTACTTTCGCCGTTGTTACATTTTCCTTCCGGCTTACGCGGCTTTGTTATTAACTCGTCGTTCCATTTGCTCTATTCCTCGAAACACTCTACACACCGCGGCTCCGCGAACTTCTTATCCCGTTTCAGATGAGACGTTTCTTATCTCTTTTATCCCAGCGGCGGCAGCAGCACTATCCATTTCTGTATTCGCCGCGTTCACAAACCGAAACCAACCAGACATTTCGATCCTCGCTCATCCAATAACCCTCATCCTTTATCTCGTTTCCCAATTTGTGCATTGTCACCTGCGTCTTTTTATCTCCGCCGCCGACTGCCGTGACCCTTTCAGACACCGCGTAACGTCATTTTTGTCGCCGGGTCCCGCAAATATCGTTACATATAACGTAAAAGGGCCGAACAGGGAAATACATTTGATTTCGACAGAATTTGTTTAACCGTCGACTCGCGAATCGATTTCATCTTCCTTTCGCCCCGAATCGAAAACGGTCGAGATCGAAATAAAGAAAATACGATCATTCGGAATCGATGGAAATTAAATATTGGATCGTTCCTTCCAATATTTGAATATTTCACAGATGATGCGCTCCTTTCATATCTTCCTCTTCCGTGTCAAATATCATCGTGCGTATCTGTTCGTAATCATCGAAATGCTGTCGGTTTTTATATTCGTTTCATTTTTAATCTTCGAGCATGTTTTGTGATTTCTAGATTTTCTAGTTCTTTTCCTTTCTCCGAACTTCTCGTCACATAACATTCTGCTAAATCCACATTCGACAAGTCTGAAGATTTGAAAACTGTCGAAGAACTAAACAAATGACTGTTGAATAAACACGGATAAAAAGCAGTAAAAAGCTGAGAGAAAAAAATGAAAAGACAAAATAATTGATAAAGAGAGCTCAGCTTTTTACTGCTTTTTATCCGTGTTTATTTAACAGTCATTTGTTTAGTTCTTCGACAGTTTTGAAATCTTCAGACTTGTCGAATGTGGATTTAGCAGAATGTTATGGGACGAGAAGTTCGGAGAAAGGAAAAGAACTAGAAAATCTAGAAATCACAAAACATGCTCGAAGATTAAAAACTGTTAAATAAACACGGATAAAAAGCAGTAAAAAGCTGAGCTTTCTTTATCAATTTTTTTGTCTTTTCATTTTTTTCTCTCAGCCTTTTACTGCTTTTTATCCGTGTTTATTCAACAGTCATTTCTTTAATTCTTCGACAATTTCCAAGTCTTCAGACTTGTCGAGTGTGGATTTAGCAAAATTGTTACGATACAATAATTTCTTGAATAATCTCGTCAAGTTTCTTCGAAAATCACGAGAATATTCCCCGACCAACGCAACAGCATGATATTCTACGAAACGATCTCCAACGGTTAACCAAAACGTTGTTAGAATACACATTACCGTTGCATCAAAGTTTCGCAGCCGAATCGAATCCTGGAAACGTTAACAACGTCGAGCACAAAGTCCATCATCTTCTTTGCGAAGCAAACTTATTTATAGGGACGCGATAAGTTTTAATATAATCCGCGTTCTTATAAACCCATAAATTTGCTCGCAGAAATGTTTCTCAGTTTCCACGGAACACATCGCAATAACTTCGCATCATTAAATTCACCGTAACCATCGCGTCGTAAGGTAGAGTGAAGCCGGGGTGAGCAATTGCTGTGCCTTTGGCTTGCTTTCGGGCGTAATTAACTTTATATTTAACGAACTAGAGATAGGGAAGACCGGGGCTGGAAGTTCCGATTTTGAGAAAACATAAAAATTGGCTAAGAAACAACGCGGTTACTTTTTTCCTTTCTGACTAAATTATTGTTAAATTAATTCCACGTTAAGATTGTCGACTCAAATTTGATATATTGCAATAAATTTTTCATGGTAACTCGTTCTTTCTGCGGTCAACTCAAGCGGAACTTTTTACCCCGTCGTGGGGCAAATTGTTTACGCTTTGGAATAAGTTGTTGCTACAAAATAAACGCTACTTTTTAATGAGATATTTCATTCTCTGATGTAATAAAACACAATTTTATCAATATAGTTTGTTTATTAACTTTGGATTAACAGAGATACATATATATTTTTGAAAGAAAAAAGGATATACTATCTTTGTGGAACAATTATTAATATAGTAAAATGAAAATAATATTCTCATATTATGATAATTTAGGAAATTTACTTAAATCTAATAGAAAGAGAAAACGAAATTCGTCGCACTAGAGGACAGTGTACAATTCTCATAACTTTCGAATTGAACCAATTTTCAGCACGAGTACTCTAGCAGTCTTTTAAAAGAAACACGAGGAAGCACCGATTAGTGCAAAAAATATACAATCACATTAAAGAAAGTCGAAGTCACCTTCACTTCTTATTAAGATAATAATTTTCCTACCATATTCATCGTTGAATTCTTTTTAAACTACGAATTAATGTTAAACTCTATGTACGTTTATCAATATCTTTTGACAGGAAAATTAATGGTTTAAATGCTTCGGGTTTATCAATTTTGCCCACCACGATCGCATACTGCGCGGCGTCGGGGTTCTCGGGATAACGATTCCATCGCCTGCTTACGCCGAAATTGATTAAGCGAGTCGGAGCAAAACGCGCCGCGCGACGCTAATGCGACGAAATTAATTTCTTTTCGCGGTGCCCACTCCCGCAATATGTTCCCACAATGGAATGGTTTATCTTCCGTCGCGACCAGCACTGCCGGCAAGTCTGCCGCTGTGCACAATGAGAATTCCAAACGAGCTTAGGGGGTTCCTGCCGAGACCGTTTGCGCGTCTTTGCCCCGGTATTTGTGCACCCGAGTCTATTTGTTCGGCCCGCGCGTCGTTCACTCTACACCCTACACTCGACGATCTACACTGTACGCTTTCGGGCCTGCACCTGAAACAGAAATCATCTGCGTCATGACGCATTAGCGATGTCAATCGTCCGGGGATTCTAAAGATGCCGGAGCTTTACATGTTAATGGTTTATCGATCAGTCCCCCCGGATTCAATCTCGAAATCCGCCGAGTCGACTCGATCGAACACGCTCCAGGGTTATTTATTCGATAAATTTATTCGACGAATTGCTGTTTTAATTCGGCATTAAGGCCAATAAGGCAAAAAATCCTTATTTTTTTATCGATCTTATTTTTACTAGCTCGAATGTTCGTTGCGTTAATAAATTTATTAGATAGATTTATTCTTGGAGACAATGTGATCCTATAAATACATAGAAGGTTATAATTAGTTTAATTATTATTAATTATAATTATTATTAGACTAATTATCATGCTTAGACTAGTTTCTAATTATTATTAGACTAGCTTATTATTATACTGTCTCTTATACACATCTAGATGTGTATAAGAGACAGTTATAATTATTATTAGACTAATTATCATGCTTAGACTAGTTTCTAATTATTATTAGACTAGATTATTATTATAATCATAATTGTATGCACTTGTTGCAAGATACAGCAGCGCTGCAGCGATATTTATTTATTTTCTTGAATTAATTTAATAAATACCTCATTAAATTATATAAACGTTTTCACTGTTTTGAATATGATGTACTAATTTTTGTTGTAAATACGAAGAATCTGCGGACCAATTATAACACTCTTTCATCCTACTATGTTAGCATAATTTTGTATTATCATTTTAAAGTATTTTAAAAAAAAGCATGCCTAAATAATGACGTTTAAAGTTTTAGCTTTCCAATAATAATCTGGTGGTTCCAATAATAACAACCTGGTTTCTGTTGATAGATACATTACTATTGCACTAAATACATTGACAATAGTATTGCGAATAATATTGTTTGCTATGAAATAGTAGAATATTTTTAAATCGCGTTTCTTTTTTAAACGTCTTAGTATTGAATTAGAACAGCGAAGTGTTAGTTTTATTAACGAATATAAAACAGCTGCTTTTAGTGCTCTGTAAATCTAGCGTCAATATAAAAAAGAATAAAGAAGAGTATAAAAGAGAAAAGTGCAAAAAAATAATTCTAGATCTTTGCACACACTGTAACTGAGCGACTGACATAATACACATACTCTCAAAATCACGCACACATTCGACAAAGTCAATGCTTTTGTAGATCGTATTTACTCGTTTGCATTGTTTAAATTAACATTTTTGCATACTATTATACTTTGTTTTATTCCGAGCAAGTACACAGTTATTCATAGTAAAGTGAATATATTAAAATTATATTGTGGAAATATTCTAAATAATTACTGCAGATTAATTACTTGTAATGAAACTTGTATTATGTTCTAAATATACGTATAAATTCATATAGAAATTTAAAAATCGATTGAAATTTTACAACTTGCTATTGAGATAAATTTGATTTGCTTGTTTCATAATTTCTACTTAGTATGTTTCCCTAATTAGTATATAATCAGTGTGTTAACAATCACAAAACAGTAAAAGCATTTAGAGAATTTAAAAATATTATCGTATTATTTGCAACTGATTAAAATTATTAAGAGAAAATTATTAAGTTTCAGTAACGCCTGTATTTTGCATTTGACGCAGACAATTTTCATTTTGCATAAAAATCCGCAGACTAACTATTGCAAACGTAGTCTCCGTTGTGGAAGACGATTTATTTATTAAACTATAATGTACGATTTAGGTCAGAATTTTACTTGGACTCGGTTCCATTGTACAAATCATAGTCGAAATACTAATTATTAATTTATATTAACACTATGCCGTCCGCGCGGTGGCATCACGCTGGGGTGCCATGCGAAAACTATCTGTTGTATGCCGGTGGTACCACTTTGGTGCCATCTTAAAAAACTGAAATAACATTTGAACTATATTTCTTGGGTGTTAAAAGGCAGCAAACTAACTATAGCATTGTGCTTATTTAACTAAGAATTAAGTACGAAAATTCTTGGATGACTTATCTTAATTTTAGGAATTTATATTACCGCCATCTCCGAATTTCTTTTTTAAATCTAAAATTTCCAAGCTATTATTATCAAACAACAATCATATCTAAGATCTGCGGACGGCATAGTGTTAATAATTCTGTGATTAATCTTTATACATCTACCGTTCTCAATATCGACAAAATGTCTAACAAAAAAACACACGCGGCCAACGATTCGTTTTCTGGTTTTGCACTGGAAATACATGCGGTGTAATTACAGTTCTCGGTTCCGCGGTCAACGTCGGGATATAGTGTACACAGTCCGAGGGTTAATCATTTCTGTTTTTGTGCGTAGGTACGTAGACGCTTCGCCGTCGTGGGGCAAACAATTGCAGGCGGATTTGCCGGCTGGCACCACGGTGGTCACCTTCACAGCCTGGTCGCCTGTGTCGAACTATACCAGCACGTGTCGGATCGTGATACGGGTGCGAGGTGAGTGATCAGAATTCGATCGTAATCTTGTGGATACCGGTTCGTCATTCTCCTTTACCGAATGCCGCATCGTTTTGATCGAGCCAGTTTCATTTGTACTTTCGATTCGTGAACTATTTTATTCTTTTTTTTCTTTTGAGCAGTGTATTCTCCCTAATTGACGCTCAGATGGTCGCTCAAAATGGACAATTTGGGAAGAAAAGATACGATTATATTGGGTTTGCAACTAAGTAATTGCCGATTTCAGTTATAGATGTTTCTCACTCCTATTTTTATGATATCCGTAAATGTTATATTATGAAATTATTATTATTATTATTATTATGTTATTTTTTATTATCCGTGAATGTTAGCAATTGGACAAATTGAATGCAGCGGTCAAGGAAAAGCGACCAGGATTGGTCAATCGTAAAGGTGTCATTTTCCAGCAGGACAATGTTAGGCCGCACACGTCTTTGTCCACTCGGCAAAAATTGATGCATATTGGTTGGGAATTGATGTTACACCCACCATATAGCCCTGATCTCGCGCCATCGGATTACCACTTATTTCGATCCCTGGACAACTCCCTTCGTGGTAAAACTTTTAACGATGATGACGCTGTAAAATCTCACTGAACTCAGTTTTTGGCCGAAAAGGATCAGACTTCCTACGAGCGTGGAATTTTCAAGTTGTCAGAGAGATGGCAAAAGGTCATCGAACAAAATGGAAAATACATTACAGATTAAACTTCGTTCCAAGTAAAAAAGAATTTTTTATTTCATTGAACAAATCGGCAATTACTTAGTTGCCAACCCAATAGTTACCGATTGCCAACAACTATAAAAACGAGCCGCAACAAGGCGTGAATAATCGTATCTCCTCTTCCCAAATTCTCCATTTTTATGCAAAATTTGAGCGTCGAACACAGAGAATTTAGCGTACTTTTATACGCCGCGTCCTCTACGAGGTTATCAGCGGCGCCGATCAGGCGAATCCTAGTTACAGTTTGTCAATTAATTTCGTTTCTTCGACGAATCCCATGAATCGCGAGGAGGCCACCCTTCGTATGCGCCAGTTTGCAGTATCTGCGGTACTTCGTTACCCCCTCCACCACGAAAACCATCGAAATGTTCACATTCATCGTTAAATTACTTGTCGATGACCCAATTGGGTTTCTGTAATCTGAAAGGATCTAAAGAACAACCACCGTCAAAGAGAGATCTATCAAGTCTACCGGAAAGTTCTGTCCGATAGCGTCACTTCAAGTTTCAATCCATATGCACATGTTGATTCGAGACACATATGACAATCTCTCTTTATCATTGCATTTACACACATGTACTCTCCTAAATAAACTGAAACAAAGATGTCTCGTGTCATTATTAAGTGAGACGCGATCGTGAAAACATGACTACCGATGATAATGCGAGACCATATGCTGCTTTGGCGACTCGTCAGAAAATCGCAGAGCTAGGCTGGGAAATTCTGTCGCATCCACCATACTCCCCAGACCTAGCACCCTCCGATTATCACTTGTTTCTCCCTTTGCAAAACTTTTTACAGGAAAAAAGATTCAAAACTGAAGCTGATGTCAACCAAGCACTAGTCGAGTTCTTCGCCTCTAAAAATAAATCATTTTTTAAAAATAGCATTTACAAGTTGCCATCACGCTGGCAAGAAGTCGTAAGTAACGATGGAAAGTATATTCTACAATAAATATTATTAAATGTATGAAAATTGTGTTATATTTCAATTGAAAAACGGACAGAACTTTCCGGTAGACCTAATATTTGGACTCTGGAAATTCGGTCCCGTCAATTAAATCGCCTTAATTTTTGAACATCTTTCAGAAGGTTCGACGACACGGCTGTTAATACGTGCAATAATATTGTTCCCGAGGTTCGCACACGCTCGCACCCTCTGTTCACTTTCGAACCACGGGATTTTACTTATTCAGTGATTAGACGCTGGGCTTCGTATTCATTCTTCACGCGTTGCATTCATACTCGTGAATATTTAAACCGCGTGAATTTTTCATCCGCCGCATGCCCGTGGTTCGAAGTCAAAATAACGCACCTCGGGCTTTTTCACTTTCGAGATATCACGGATGAATGTTTGACGAAGCTTCTTTCGAATACCGACGTCACCGGCATAATCAGATTTCTTGTTATAGAAAGCAGCAGTCATAAATATAAATCTCTATATAATCTCTGTTAATATAAATCATCTACGTCTCCTTCGGAATAAGTTGAAAACCGTCAAAATAACGACGATTCGATATTTTTATACCGTGAAACATTCGTGAAACTTCTCGTCGCTTCCCACAGATATTCTTCGACGTTTCAAGGCACATCAATTTTTCGTTTTTGTTATGTTTTATAAACGTTCACCGACGTAATAGATCTCGTTCTTAATCTCTTGTTAACACGTTCCGTGCCGAGCTTTTTTTACTCGAATCTTCACACTTTGATATTTTACTAAAACTTGATGTATTACGTGCAATTATTAATTCTCGTACACATAACAACGTAACAAAAACTTATCAACGACCATTCTTGCGGTGGAAATTGATTCTTCGGTTCTAAATTTCTTGTAAACAATTTGTTCAGTTCACTAAGTAAACATGCAAGCGTGTACCATCGATGGTACACGTGGCACGGAACATGTTAATTGATATGTAGTCTAGCGATTTCTTCCTTCGATCTAGAACGAAAAATGAGACGGAGCTTTTTTCACGATTTCACTCCTTTGTTTTTCGGAGTCGCGTATTATCATTCTTATTGCATCTTTTAAAACGGAGTTTAGGTTCATACGACGGGTTGTTCTATTATGAAAACGACTTCTATTATGAAGAAAGTTAATTCCATCATGAAGTCCGAAAAGAATTCGAAACATTTGATTCACTTTTAAAAAAAAGGTTGTTCCGTTTTAAACGATGTTTAATGTGTAAGTCGCAGATACAATTTTCAGAGAAGCATAACGCTCTATAATGCAGGCGAAACATCATGAATCATTCGTTCTCAATGCTGGTTAGTTTAGAAATCTGATAACCGAACGAACAATTGCCCGCAGCCGATCGAAATTAATATAATGGCAAATTCGTTGGAATTCCTATTTTCACGTGGAACGCAATAGTAAGATACCAACCACCTGCACGGCAATTTAAACTCCATTTCACGTATGAGCAATCGGCAAATAACATTGTCGTTTCGGCTCGAATCTGCTCGAATTCTTTGCGTCACGTGGAACTCGCATTAAACGAATCGATTCCGATTTGGTGTTATCGTCGTTACACCGCTGATATTAAATCGTAATATCCGCACGCATTTCTCTGTAATATTACACATTGCGTGCCGGCCTTTCATGCGCGGGGTATGTTATTTTTCGCTTGTAGGAATTTGCCCGGTGTACGGGTTGTGAGCGAATTGTAATTCCGTTGCGCAACGATTAATGACGGCGATTGAAATGTAACTGTTAATTCGCTTGCGGACCGTTCTACTTTTTCGAATCGTTGATTACAGCCGAGTTTGCCTATACAATAATCGCAGTTTAATAACAAATTATAGAGACACGGCTCGCAGTCGAATCGATCACCACGGTTTAATCGTCATTAGTGCATAATCAGATTATATCGAAGATTAAATCGAAGTTTATCGCGGATGTGCATCGCGTATTGTGAATATAATAATGACAATAATAACAATAGTACTAATAATGATAATAGTAATAATAATAATTTGGTGTTCCCGAAATGGATTATGTTGCCGCTGGATCGCGTCGCAAAAATAAATATTAGATTTATATGAATCGAATAAAATGCTGCCACGTAAATGCGTCAGACACCAGCGAAAAATCATTCTATTGCGATTGCGATGTACAGAAACGAGAATGTCAGTAATTTATTACGTTTCGCAATGTGCCGTAGATTCCACCTTCGACGCGAAAGACATCAATCTTCCTCCTTTCTCGCTATCAGAAAATTCTTTCCCTCGCAGCATTTTTCTTGTTTGCTTTCCCGGGCGACACAATTGACACTCGTGGGTATCAAATGATACGCGTGGTGTAAAAATAAAATGGTAGAAGCGTTGAACATCGGTGTAATTAACGAAACGCTTAAATAATCCTGTCTTTCTATTAATGGTTCGGTGCACTTGTGAGACTTTGTCTTTTATAGTTTCAATTCAAAGGGTAATTGTGATTCACTCTTGTACAAATAAGTAAATTTAGGGCAAATTGACAGATTGTCACATATTTGACAATTTATTATTTGGAATCATGGTTTAGACTTCCACGATATACTTTTAATACATGCAATGTATATCTAAATATTTAATACATATATTAAAATATGTAATATGTACAATATTTATTAAAATATTTAATAGCTACAGTATTTATTAAAATATTTAATATATACAATATTTATTAAAATATTTAATATGTACAGTATTTATTAAAATATTTAGTATATACAGTATTTATTAAATATTTAATAAGC